TACTTACCCCACTTAACACTGGGAACCTCTATTGTCAATCTCCTGTAATACTTACCCCATTTAACACTGGCAACCTCTTCATAGCTAGTAGACCAAATAAACCCCTTCAAAACCCTTCTTATTGGTAACGCTTCAGTACGTTGTGATTAAGTCCCCCTTACACATATTTATGATGTAACATTTATGTATTTTTGTTATACATAATTATTATATGATGATCATTTTGATTATTTGATTATTATATAATGGTGTGATACATATTCAGAATGTGATGTTTATGTATCTTTTTTAAATACATATCTTTGACATCAGCAATGAAATTGTGAGTTACATATGTGTATTTCAGAATAGATTGATTTTCTTTTGACAGAAACAATCCTGCTGTCAGCACCTTTAAAATGCTGTGAGCAGCTTGGTGAGGAGACACTTGGAGAGAAATGCCGTATTAGGGAGGAAGCATGAATCAGGGACTTACTCTGCTCGGCTTTCTGTGGCTAACCTGTGGCCATGTGTACGCAGCCGAATCAAAATGTTTACCGGACATTGATATCTCAAGTAAGTTAGAACTATTGTTAGTTTGTTCCTTTTTATACCTTAAGTTGACTTTATTTAATCGGAACTCTGGATGTAGTTTACTAGAACAGAAATGTAGACAAGATTTCTGCATAATGTATTTTTAATAGCTGTAGCATATAAAGAGTACTTTTTTCAAAGTTTTTCTTTTGATATTTAAGTTATTTTTAATTTGATTGATCATGCCTACAGTTGTTTAAAAACAAAATGTAGACAAATCAATGTCGAAGAAATGATTTTTGTTCTCTGTACATAACTTATTGGGGTCAGATTTATGTTTCTGTAAAGAGCAAATGACATTTAGATTTTTGTTGCAACATTAAAAGTTAAAAATTTAAATATTTTATGAAAGATTTTGTTTATTAATCAGACACCAAGTTTTTAGTGATGATTTTTAGAGTAGAACAGATTGTATTTATTACACTACTGTATCAGACCTGTCGATAGGGTTCTCAATCTAAGGAAATTCTTGAACATTAAATTTTCCATAAGAAAGCATTACTTAAGGAATATTTACATAACTTAAGATTGTTTTTTTTATCTCCAGTAATGATTTTCTGTGGGAAACTGAAGGAATTTCCTTTGGTTAAGGAAACCAAGGACTGTGAATTTGTTGAAATGAAAGCATTTCATACTACACGTAATGAAGACAATGGGTTACAGCAACATTAAAAATAGCTAGTCTATTAAATCTTCATGTTAAACCATATTGTGCTGTCATCATGTCATTAAACACACCGACTGACACTAGAGGATCACCATCAGTGTATCACCTGTATTGGGTTTTAAGGTCGTAAGGTCAGACTCGGTAATACTTTTAACCCACTTCTAGGTTTTACTTTATCCCGGGTTGATAAAATAATGTGTTGACAAAAAGACTATTTCTGTCTGTTGTCTGTCTAAAATTTCCAAATTTCACATGACGAAGGACCGTTCTATGTAGATGTCCAATAGTGGGGTTTGTAGATTCCTAAAGTCAGTACTAAAAATAGAAAAAGGGGGTTATTTTGCAAAAAAATGCATTGTATTGACCTTTCTGACCTGGCAGTGTTTATGTTATCAGTAAATGGTATTTGGTAGATTGTTGTACCTGATTAATGCCCACATTACCAGGATCTCAAAATCCAAGATGGCCACCAGTCTACATGGCTATTATGATAGGTATGATCAAGCTGATGGTGGGACCCTTTCTGACCTGTTCAGTGTTCTAGTTCCAAGACCAAGGCAAAACCAACTAAGATGTGTTGTTAGTTCTCTGTGACCATACAGACTGTGGTTTCATTGATTTTTTCTTGAGAAAATCAATATTATTGTTGGGGAAAACAGCTTAAAATAGCTCGAGGACATTGATGCCATGTAAGATTTCAGTGGAAAAATTGATAATATTATTGACAGGTTATACAATTAGCGTAGGACTGAAGTGTTTATAGACCTTTTATTCCATGTGACACTGCCATCAGGTTATTCTCTGAGGGAACAAAGCCAATCTACTGATGTTGAAACAAAGAGGGACAATAGGATGTCTGGTGGTTTCATATTTAGTTTAAAACAATTGTATACAAGTGTGCTCAAGCGTGATGTTGGAAAATGGTTTAAAATTTGATGGGAAAATAGAGATCAATGTAGGAGAGAAGACAACATTTAAACTTAAGTCTAAAGAGCTGAAATATAAAAATCATTTTTTTTTTTGTAAAATCACATTTTTTCAATCAATTTAACATTGACTTGCCCTATTGAAAAGCTGCAGTCTGTAATATTTTTTCAGATTAGCTCCAAATTTGTTGGATGTTTTTTGAACAAACACAAAATATATTACTATCACATGTTACCGTATTGGCCTATCATAGTAAATGTTGTGTATCAACTTTTAGCTATATCTATAAAAAAAAACCACATAAGGTTGGTAGGTAAAAATAGATTTTGCAGAATATTTTTACAGACAGCACAGACCACAGACTTCAACAGTGCTTGTGTAATATTAGTGAATAAATATGATGTTCTTTATAATCTAGGGGGGGAAGCTAGTGGAAACTAGATAGTTGTGGCTTTAAGCATGAAATGTGTAGGTTTTGCGATGAGCATGACTTGTATTATTGAGTCAACGTTATAGGTTGTGAGAATGAAAGTAATTAGAGATGATGGATATAGAGAACAGAAAATTTCTAAGGTGATCGATGCACCAGTTACACAATGTACCTGTCCTACTGGCCAGAGTTATTATAGATACTTATGATGCACCAGTTACACACTGTACCTGTCCTACTGGCCACAGTTATTATAGATACTTATGATGCACCAGTTACACAATGTACCTGTCCTACTGGCCAGAGTTATTATAGATACTTATGATGCACCAGTTACACAATGTACCTGTCCTACTGGCCAGAGTTATTATAGATACTTATGATGCACCAGTTACACAATGTACCTGTCCTACTGGCCAGAGTTATTATAGATACTTATGATGCACCAGTTACACAATGTACCTGTCCTACTGGCCAGAGTTATTATAGATACTTATGATGCACCAGTTACACAATGTACCTGTCCTACTGGCCAGAGTTATTATAGATACTTATGATGCACCAGTTACACAATGTACCTGTCCTACTGGCCAGAGTTATTATAGATACTTATGATGCACCAGTTACACAATGTACCTGTCCTACTGGCCAGAGTTATTATAGATACTTATGATGCACCAGTTACACAATGTACCTGTCCTACTGGCCAGAGTTATTATAGATACTTATGATGCACCAGTTACACAATGTACCTGTCCTACTGGCCAGAGTTATTATAGATACTTATGATGCACCAGTTACACAATGTACCTGTCCTACTGGCCAGAGTTATTATAGATACTTATGATGCACCAGTTACACAATGTACCTGTCCTACTGGCCAGAGTTATTATAGATACTTATGATGCACCAGTTACACAATGTACCTGTCCTACTGGCCAGAGTTATTATAGATACTTATGATGCACCAGTTACACAATGTACCTGTCCTACTGGCCAGAGTTATTATAGATACTTATGATGCACCAGTTACACAATGTACCTGTCCTACTGGCCAGAGTTATTATAGATACTTATGATGCACCAGTTACACAATGTACCTGTCCTACTGGCCAGAGTTATTATAGATACTTATGATGCACCAGTTACACAATGTACCTGTCCTACTGGCCAGAGTTATTATAGATACTTATGATGCACCAGTTACACAATGTACCTGTCCTACTGGCCAGAGTTATTATAGATACTTATGATGCACCAGTTACACAATGTACCTGTCCTACTGGCCAGAGTTATTATAGATACTTATGATGCACCAGTTACACAATGTACCTGTCCTACTGGCCACAGTTATTATAGATACTTATGATGCACCAGTTACACAATGTACCTGTCCTACTGGCCAGAGTTATTATAGATACTTATGATGTATACGTACCAGTTACACAACGTACCTGTCCTACTGGCCACAGCTATTATAGATACTTACTGCTAACTAAACATGGAACTCTCTTTCAAAGGAGATAGATATTACACAGTAACATTCCATATACCTCACAAAGCTGTTTTAACATTTTTTGCTGCGAATTAATCCACAGGTATAACATTAGCGGAAGAATAAACTTCCAATTATTCTGCTTACGTTGCTGAAGTGTCCTTTGCCTATGAAATGGAACTTTATGTTACTTTAAGTAGGCTTGTCCCGTGTAATTACAAAATAAACATATTGATTACCTTGAAATAATTAAGTGGCCGAAATCGGTGAAATATAATGGAAATGACAAAGTTTTTGATGTTTTATTGATATTTAATTTCTGATTGGTTTAAACTGACTGAAATATGAGTTTATAACTTTGAAGAAGGTTTTTTCTGTAAGAGTGCTAGCGCTTCACCCATCAAAATATAACAATAATTACAAACTAAATTGTCAAGGGTGTAATTACTGTCAAATTCAAAGAGTAACATATGTTACAAAGAACTATGTCAGATAGATTTATGGTTGAATTAGGCATTGGGCCATGCCTCCTTAAAGGGGCCAGGCCCTACACAATTTCAGCAATATTTCACTTTTTGACAGATATAAAAGCTTTATAGTTAATTTCCCAGTGTGAAAAAAACCCTCAACCTTTTCCAAATTTCACCAGCGAAATGCAAGTGAATAAAAAAGAAGAAGAAAGTTTTTACGTTAAAGTGTCATATAGCAATTAACCAACTTCATTTAAGTGGCGGTCATACAGCAATTAAACAACTTCATTAAAGTGTCATATAGCAATTAAACAACTTCATTAAAGGGTCATATAGCAATTAAACAACTTCATTAAAGTGGCGGTCATATAACAATTAAACAACTTCATTAAAGTGGTGGTCATATAGCAATTAAACACCTTCATTAAAGTGTCATATAGCAATTAAACAACTTCTTTAAAGTGGTGGTCATATAGCAATTAAACAACTTCATTAAAGTGGTGGTCATATAGCAATTAAACAACTTCCACCTGCAACACTATTGTTTTATTTATTTGATAAACTGAAAAGTTATTTATGATGTTTTACATTTCTGTTAAGGTGGCTCCACACATCGTCATCAGCGTCCATTTTCGTGACGTACTTCCGGAAAAAGTACAGCTCGGACTCAATTATCCTGATCGAAATGTGCATGTACACCGTGTCGTCATTTCCGTACTGCGTATCGAGAATTCAATATATCGTAGTGCAAATTATAGTAACACCTGGGCTGTTTTTGTTTAAACGGTCAAATCGATTGGACCACTGTTGTTCGTTTATTAAATAAGGTTGGACCTATAGTAATCTGATGCTGCTTTCAGGCGAGCCTTTAGAAAGCCTTGCATGCAAGGCCTGCATACACATTTGCAGGTCAGCCAGGATTTATACCCGAAATTGTTACATTTATAAATGGTCAAACCGGTTGTTCCGCATAAACGAACAGGCCCCTGGTAAACAATAGTACACGTGCGTGCCGATGATATGTCAACACCCGATATCGAGATTTTACCGGTAAATGTATAATCACACATACTTCAGGAATAAAGCTTTCCAATTCATGGACATAAACAGACTCCCGGGAAGACAGTGACATGAGACCAGATGACCTCAAGAAGGTCATATAGGAAACACCTGGTATGCAGACGTACCGACCTCACATGTGCATATCACGTGCCTACACGAGTTCATAAGCTTGAGGTTGTTACGATTTTCACTGTTGAGGGAGTTTCGCTCCGTCGATTAAATTGTGTTTACAAATGTAATCTACTTACTCTGTGAAAATAATGTTTTGTAAAATATCAAGATACCTATGAAATGCATGTGTGAGTGCACGTGAGAACGGCATACCTTGCGATAGCCTCTGGTCACATATGTACCTGACAAGTAATTATAAATATACCGTGAGTTAGCGGACTGTGGAATGATGTCCAAAGTGTACATAACTGAGGGTAATTTGGTTCCATTAAAGAACAATAAATTGATAATTTTGATATTATATTTTTGATTTATTTCCATCATTTTTGTAATATGTAAACAGAGACAACTGTCATTGTATAAATGTCATCCCCCTGCAAAAAGTTCCGATTTTTTTCAAGGAAGATAGCTCTCACCTGGATCAAAATGATTGTAAAATTTAAAATAAATTAATTACAAAGCCATTGTGAATATTTTGTTCAATTTCCCATTCTATATGTATAGATCTTTGTGTCCTGTTTGCTTTTAGCTTAATTGTAGATAATCACTTTTATCCGTACAAATTCAATAAAAAACACTTTGTGTAACATGTGTTACATATTTTGCGTTAAATAAAAATATTTGTAGGGTTAATTAGAAATGCTTCTTTTCATTTTATTATTGTTGTTATTGAATTGTTCCGAACAATGCCACACACACACAAAAATGGAAAATATTAAAATTGACGAAAATTTAATTTTTTGGTATTTTTTCCAAAAAAGTCCCAATTTTAACAACAGAATGTTTAGATTTTCATAAAATCAACTCTACATAGTTGCATTACCATTATATGAAAGTTTCAATGAATTTTGCTGGTTAATTGCGAAAGTGTGGAGCCACCTTAACTGTATCTAATGGATCAGGTAAAACTTGGGATTCCCTATTAGCTCACCTTACAGAATTAAAAGGGCCAGTGACCTTAGGCTGGCTCAGCATCCTTTGACTGTCTGGTGTATGTTTTTAATCAAATTCTTTTGAGGTCATGGGTCATGGTATTTTTGAAAGGCCTACAGTATTGATATTTGACCAGTAGCATGCTAGGATAAAGGGCTATAAAGTTCATAAAGATTGTTCAAATGCATGACCTTGACCCACTTTTGAGTTCATATGGGCCAAATATATTAAAAACTTTAATCAACTAACCAAAAGACATAGGTATATGATTTTTAGCTATTAACATGCTGAGATGAAAGAATATAAACTTTGTTCCAGTTAGCTCATTTTCAAGTTTATAGTGGTTGAAAGTGTTAAGACTTCAAGCAAAATGTCCTCAAATTCATAGGGCCTAGAGTAAGGGTATTTTTCTAAAATGCTAGTTGGAATAAAGGGCTATTAACTCTTTGAATAAATTAATTTGACCTCCTTTCAAAGTCACTAGTGTATAATTTAATGTGTTAAAATATTTTAACGTTTGACCCAAATGAGTAAAAAAAATCTAAAAATCTAAAGGTCCTAAATACCTAAACTGATGACTTTTGGTCTGTATAGTTGTCTAGATGCAAATTATTATGTTAATTGAAATAAATTACCTCAACCAACAGAAAGTCCTTAGAGTGAAATAAGTTAAATCTTCCAACTTAGAACCATAAAGTATTGACAATTAGGCTGTAGTATTACCTTGCAGCTTGCTTTCTATCAGGGTTGAAAAGTTTGACCTTGACCCGTATTGAAAGTCACGGATGTGAAATGTGTTTATGAATAGGTGCACCATACAGGCCCTTTGGATCTCTTGCTTTAAAGGTAGATGCATGTTTTATCTATACACAAAGAGATTTTGAGGTCTCAAAGCCTACAACCCATATTATAGCGTTTGACCATTTTAATTTCGAACCACAATAAAAGTATGATATCAATACTTTGAAATACTGAAAATCAGTAGAAACCCCAAAAAGCTAAATTTGTTGCAATGAAGTTCCATTTCTTGTTCCTCCCCTTAGTTGTTTTCTGAGAATCACCTAGACTAGTTTGTGTTAGAAAGAACTCTGTTTCCGTTACATCTGCATAATAGATCAAGGTTGTCAGAATTTGATCTGATCAAGATGTTGTATTAAACTTCATACTGTGGGCTTATGGTTCAATGTCTAGCTTCTCAATCTGCATGGCTATATGATATAATATTGACATGCTTTCTATTATGGTCAGCTGAACCTCAATCTGTCTAGTCTGGTGACCACCTCCTGAAAGTTGTCAGACAAGACAGGTTTGGTAATGTTAATCTTTATCATCATGCATTGTTAACATATGTATTCATCTTTTTATTTGCCTTTATGTATACATGTATATATACATTTTCGCCAGGTTGAACATTGGCCGTCGCCCGTGAAATCAATTTTCACCCCTTGTTAATTACACCCTTGACATTTAATTACTATGTATATTATCCTGTTTACTTATATTCGTTGTAATGATAAATTTGCCCTCATCACGGAGGGCAAAAAGGCAAAAACTAAAGTGCAGTGAAATTTCCAGGTACATTGTATACAGTATGTAGACAGCAAGCCTTCGCCTGTTATGAGTGACCACCTGTAATGATAAACTTCTCACATCAAATTTCCTTTGAGTCTTCTTTTCAGTGTCACGATTAAAGCCTTTTAGTCATTATATGACTACAGGTAACAGAAAACCCACATTTTGTCCTCTCGCTACTTAAAAAAACATGAAGAAAAAAGCCTTCATTAGTTCAAAAATGATAATGATATATGGTTTGTATCAATAGAAGTCCACTTGATGCGTGTTTCAGAGAATGGTGTCACTCCCGACGACCCGTTTGTGTATTTCGGTCAGCACATTAACCTTAACTGCACCGTGTCCACTAGACAGCTCCCTAAAAATTCAATGCTGATATTTTTGACGAAGCGCGATGATGGAAAAGAGGAAGAAGTTGAAAACACTATTTTGATCCAAACTGATTCGACACTAACCATAGCAATTAACGAAACAATCACAACACCTGTCAGACTGACGTCCAAATCGGTGAACTACCGATGCCGACTCCGCTGTGACACGGGCAGCCAGGAAGTAGGATATCAGTATGTTACAGTAGATAGTAAGGACGCCTTTTTTATTTCTTTTGTTTGCCTGTCATATTATTATACTTTTTATGTGATTTTTCTTTTCTCTCTAACATGCTGGCTTATGTATAATACTTAGAAAGAAACTAATAAATACAGGTCAAAGTTCAATACAATGTATACAAAATAGATACAGGAACATGTACTTACAAACATATTCTAAATAACTGTATTTAATATTATTAATTATGTATTTTTCAAGAATATTTTGAAGGTAACATTACATTAGAGAGAAAATTCCATTTTGAACTTTGACCTGTATTTATCAGAATGCTTGTGTCATCTAATGCATGGGGAAATGTTACTAAAACTGGATAGTAAAATTCCACTTACTCAAACTTGATTGGTCCAGGGCAAAAGTTTTAAGTTACCAAGATGTTCCAAATTTTGTAAGGAAACAACAACATATTTTGTGAGTCAAAATAAAAAAACTGTTATCATGCTCAAACTGAGATTTTTTGCTCAATCTCTTCTTCCCATGAAAAATATATACAACTAGAACATGTCTGTCAGACATAAATGCCCCCGCTGCCATGTGAAATTAGTTTCAGTGTTCTATTAAAAATTACAACCATGCACTTTGATCTTGATACCCTGAAACATGCACACACACAAGGTACTACACTTAAAGTTGATAAGTTGATTTTAATATTCATATGTTTTTTCTGTATGTTATTACCATCTCAATAACATATTGAATGAACTTTCTAAGTGTTTAAATTGAATCAGTTGATGATGTTCTCTGATGGCGGGGGCATAAAAATAACATTTATCAAATGATTTGGAAGACATTTTGGAAAGACTAAAAGCTCAAATATTGTTTAGGTGTTTACACTTCTGACCATTCTACATGAGTTTGGGAGGTACAAGAAACCTGGCTTGAGCACAGAGTACATGTTTGAGCAAGAGAACAGTTTTATACAAATGGGCCCAAGCCGAGTTACAGGTTTGATATTTGAGTCAAAGAAAATGTTTTTTTTCTCTGTTTATTTCTATGCAACTGCTGTTTTTAGAACACTACACATCTCTACAACAGGTCCATCTATAATCTCAAACTCAGAAACACTGGTGTTTATTATTTTTTTTATTATTTTTTATTTTACTGTCTGAAATTACATCAACATGTCTAAAAATATAGGAACAGTTATAATTACATCCTAAAGAATTAGTAAAATAATAAGAGGAGATAGTTTGACTTTTATGGTATTTGGTTATGGAACCTGTTATAACTTAATTATACTTGCCAATCTTTTAAATTATTCATTGAGGATAAATTTGTGTAACAGAGATATAAAGCTCAACTTTGGAGTTTAAGTAAAATGTAGGGTCAATGCATGTATGACTGTAGGGACTTCTAATATGTTGATTATAAAACGTATCTAGAGGTGTCTCACAGTGTCTCGGTGTATACTGATTGTAGGAGTAAGGTGGAACAGTATAGACGTAGGGTGGACAAGTATAGACGTAGGGTGGACAAGTGTAGACGTAGGGTGGACAAGTATAGACGTAGGGTGTACTAAGTATAGATGTAGGCAGGACAAGTATAGACATAGGGTGTACTAAGTATAGATGTAGGCAGGACAAGTATAGACGTAGGGTGTACTAAGTATAGACGTAGGCAGGACAAGTATAGACATAGGGTGTACTAAGTATAGATGTAGGCAGGACAAGTATAGACGTAGGATGTACTAAGTATAGACGTAGGCAGGACAAGTATAGACATAGGGTGTACTAAGTATAGATGTAGGCAGGACAAGTATAGACATAGGGTGTACTGAGTATAGATGTAGGCAGGACAAGTATAGACGTAGGGTGTACTAAGTATAGATGTAGGCAGGACAAGTATACACGTAGGGTGGACAAGTATAGACGTAGGGTGTACTAAGTATAGATGTAGGCAGGACAAGTATACACGTAGGGTGGACAAGTATAGACGTAGGGTGGATAAGTATAGACGTAGGGAGGACAAGTATAGACGTAGGATGGATAAGTATAGACGTAGGGTGGACAAGTATAGACGTAGGGTCGACAAGTATAGACGTAGGGCGGACAAGTATAGACGTAGGGTGGACAAGTATAGCCGTAGGGGGGACAAGTATAGACGTAGGGTGGACAAGTATAGAAGAAGGGTGGACAAGTATAGACGTAGGGTGGACAAGAATAGACGCAGGGTGGACAAGTATAGACGTAGGGGGGACAAGAATAGACGTAGGGTGGACAAGTATAGCCGTAGGGTGGACAAGTATAGACGTAGGGAGGACAAGAATAGACGTAGGGTGGACAAGTATAGGCGTAGGGTGGACAAGTATAGACGTAGGGTGGACAAGCATAGACGTAGGGGGGACAAGTATAGACGTAGGGAGGACAAGTATAGACGGAGGGTGGACAAGTATAGACGGAGGGTGGACAAGTATAGACGTAGGGTGGACAAGCATAGACGTAGGGTGGACAAGTATAGACATAGGGTGACGTAGGGTGGACAAGTATAGACGTAGGGTGCACAAGTATAGACGTAGGGTGGACAAGTATAGATGTAGGATGGACAAGAATAGACGTAGGGTGGACAAGTCTAGACGTAGGGTGGACAAGTATAGACGTAGGGGGGACTAGTATAGACGTAGGGTGGACAAGTATAGACATAGGGTGGACCAAAGTATAGACGTAGGGTTGACAAGTATAGATGTAGGGTGGACAAGTATAGACATAGCGTGGACAAGTATAGTTGTAGGGTTGACAAGTATAGACGTAGGGTGTACTAAGTATAGACGTAGGCAGGACAAGTATAGACATAGGGTGTACTGAGTATAGATGTAGGCAGGACAAGTATAGACGTAGGGTGTACTAAGTATAGACGTAGGCAGGACAAGTATAGACATAGGGTGTACTGAGTATAGATGTAGGCAGGACAAGTATAGACGTAGGATGTACTAAGTATAGACGTAGGCAGGACAAGTATAGACATAGGGTGTACTAAGTATAGATGTAGGCAGGACAAGTATAGACATAGGGTGTACTAAGTATAGATGTAGGCAGGACAAGTATACACGTAGGGTGGACAAGTATAGACGTAGGGTGTACTAAGTATAGATGTAGGCAGGACAAGTATACACGTAGGGTGGACAAGTATAGACGTAGGGTGGAACAGTATAGACGTAGGGTGGACTAGTATAGACGTAGGGGGGACAAGTATAGACGTAAGGTGGACAAGTATAGACGTAGGGAGGACAAGTATAGACGGAGGGTGGACAAGTATAGACGTAGGGTGGACAAGTGTAGACGTAGGGTGGACAAGTATAGACGTAGGGTGGTCAAGTATAGACGTAGTGTGGACAAGTATAGACGTAGGGTGGACAAGTATGGACGTAGGGTGGACAAGTATAGACGTAGGGTGGTCAAGTATAGACGTAGGGTGGACAAGTATAGACGTCGGGTGGACAAGTATAGACGTAGGGTGGACAAGTCTAGACGTAGGGTGGACAAGTATAGACGTAGGGGGGGCAAGTATAGACGTAGGGTGGACAAGTATAGACATAGGGTGGACTAAAGTATAGACGTAGGGTTGACAAGTATAGATGTAGGGTGGACAAGTATAGACATAGTGTGGACAAGTATAGATGTAGGGTTGACAAGTATAGACGTAGGGTGTACTAAGTATAGATGTAGGCAGGACAAGTATAGACATAGGGTGTACTAAGTATAGATGTAGGCAGGACAAGTATAGACGTAGGGTGGACAAGTATAGACATAGGGTGGACTAAAGTATAGACGTAGGGTTGACAAGTATAGATGGAGGGTGGACAAGTATAGACATAGTGTGGACAAGGATAGATGTAGGGTTGACAAGTATAGACGTAGGGTGGACTAAGTATAGATGTAGGCAGGACAAGTATAGACGTAGTGTGTACTAAGTATAGACGTAGGCAGGACAAGTATAGACGTAGGGTCGACTAAGTATAGACATAGGGTGGACAAGTATAGACATAGGGTAGACTAAGTATAGACATAGGGTGGACAAGTATAGACGAAGGGTGGACAAGTATAGACATAGGGTGGACTAAGTATAGACGTACATTTAAGGTTTGTTAGTGCTATTTCCCGAGAAGTACTGGAGGGTTCTTTCTCAAATTTTATTTGCAGGTTTCCCACTGTCCTTTATTGTTCATGTTTACTTTTGAAACTGATCATATAAACAAAATGGCCAAGCAGCGGCCATCGTCGATTTTTGACATTGAAGGTTTTTTAGTGCTATTTCTCAGGAATAACTTTCTCAAATTTGATATGTAGGTTCCCCTCAATGATCCCTTGTTGTGCATGTTATATTTTGAGACTGATCATAAAAACAAAATGGCCGAAGGAAGAACTAAACAGATCATTCTCATATTGTGAAATGACAAACTCACTTTGAAGGTTTTCTTTTATATACAGCAGTATTAAGTTTAGATCAAAAGTTACCTCAAGGTGCATTTACTGTTAACATGACTCTATCAAACAGATTAGAGAAAAGAAGAGAAAAAATTGAACTGACAAAGAACTAATGAAGATGGTACAATGGTGGGCGCCAAGATCCCTCTAACGGGGATCTCTTGTTTTAATTAATTAAGTTAAGGTTTCGCCAGGAAATATAACATTCCTTAAAGGATAGTAATTAAATTTGAGGTCTTTGAAAAATAGATATGAATGGAGGGTAATTTGGATCAGTGCTGAGAAATATATACGATTTAAGATATCTAGTAAAGAAATATTTCACATTTTTATACGCCCGGCGAATGATGGGACGTATTATGTTTTCACGGGGGCGGACGGGCCGTTGGGTGGGCGGCGGGCACACATTAGTTTCCGCTCAATAACTTGAGTAATTTTGAATGGATTCATTTCAAACTTAGTAGGAAGGTTCATTGCCATGAAAGCTCGGACAAGTTCGATAACCAAAATTATTTGCTGGTTATTTATGCAGTTATGGCCCTTTGTAGATTTGACGCTTATCTCTCCAAAATTTATGCACTTATGGCCCTTTGTGGCAAACTGCTCATTCAACATCTGACAGGCGTATCATGTACTGCTTTGCGGAACTCTTGTTGAACAATTACTGTAAAACAAAATCATTTTTGTAGGGGTTTGTTTTCATTGATTAGATGGTAACTCTTTTAATCCATGAGTAATTAATAACAGGTATAAAGTAAAGGATTCCTATCTGTGGTATACTAATAGTATTGGAGCTTCACCTACTAAACACGCCATTTAATTCAGGGTTTGATAAACATTCAAGTCAAATGTCTTTTTGAATATTCTCAGGAATCAGGGATGATTGTGATAAAAATATGTAAATTTTCAGTTGCACAGTTTGCAAACCTGGCTGTGATTATAGCTATATTTATCTGTAGTAGGGATACCCGACGATCAGCTGAACATTCTACGGATTACTTGTCCTTTGCTGCTATTACAGCCAAATGTAACAACATCACCAACATCTTTGTGTAATTCACAAAAAAACAACGTGTTATTTTGGAAAATCATACAATTTTGAGAATCAGGGAAATGTCTGATTTTACAGTACAAAGTATTGCATGGTGATACAATTTGGATTGGTAGTGCTGTTTTCTTGTGGACTATTACAAGATGTGCAATAGATAAGTTGTTCTTGTCTACCCAGCTGTATAAATAAGTAGCTCTATAGTAAAAAGATCAGTGAACCTGTGATAGATGAGGTGAAATTTCTTCAATTAACAGAACCTTCACAGAAATCATATGATTCAGCTCAGGATTAGTCTCAAATATTACTGATGTTTGACTCAGAAAGATAAATTTATATGTGAAATACCTACATATTTAGTGGAAAAATGTTTTGTTTGCATTTTTATGAAAATACATTAAAGCTACTCTTGGTTTTTGTTGATCTAACACAAAATAACAGACTGATATTTTGTGTTTTTTGGTGTTTTTTGGTGGTTTGTTTCACATCCACAAAGAAAAGTCACAAAACTGCATATGATAATTATAGTTTAGAGAAGCTGAAGACTGACTTACTTGATAATTGGCTTTTTATAGAATATAAAGTGAAAATATGGAAATGTACTTAAGGGGATGATAATAACATGATGTAAAAATCACATTAAGTTTACCTAGCATGTAATGTTCACTTCTCTTGACATACCCAAGAAACACCAATCATTTAGAAAGAGTAATTGTGCATGCAATAATACTTTCTGTTTGAGTATTTTCAAAAATGGAGATATAAATGGTGTTTTCACACCTGTATTGATAATCTGTGTCACTGGAGTGTTTGTACGTGAATATTACTGTCTGGTTTCTGTAAACAGGTCCGCCACAGAAGCCTGAGAATGTTTCCTGTGTCAATTACAACTGGAAACGTCTCGTCTGTCGACTTATCTACGGAACATATTACCGCAGTGGTGTAATCAGCATCACATGGGAGTGGACGGTGTAAGTAGTCTAGCAGCACGGTCGCGCTCACCTTTAATGTCATTTTCATTAAAGTCATACATTAATTTTTGTAATGTCAAGGCCACTGTCTCTTTTCATTAAAGTCAAGGCCAAGGTCAGTGTAATCTTTTGAATCATAAGTTCAAATCATATGTTCAACGTCAAGGTCACACCATTTTATAAATTTCAAGGTCACACTCCAATTTTTAATGTCATTTAGGTTGTGTTTACAAATTTGTTAAATGATTGAATTTGCTTTAGAAAAAACCTTCTATTAATGTCTTTTTTCTTTTAAATTAACAATAACAAATTATGACTGTAAAATCCTATATGATTACAAACTCTAATGAGTTAAATATTGATTTTCATGTCAATGTGTGTTGATATTTACAGTGGGGTAACATGGTCTAAATGTCCCAATTTGGAAATAAATTCTACGGAGGCTAAATGTACTTGGTCAACTGCTCAAGTTGGAGACCATGCTTTTCGGATCAGCATCACAAATCATATGCGACAAGCCGACAAACCTGTGGTGAAAACTGTCACAGTCAGACCTCCTGGTAAGTAGAATATCAAACAAAATATTTACGCAGCGCTGCTTGTATTCCGTCTAGACTGCAAGCTTGTATACTTGTTCAACAAAACTACTCAACAAAAGTAGTGATTGTAATAGCCGTTTATTATAACGACATTATATAACAACATTACATAACTGCATATGACTTTACGTAATTTTTAGCAATAAAACAGTACATAACATCACATATTTGACCATTGTAGGTGAGGGTATATCTGGCCTTGTGTAGGTGAGGGTATATCTGGCCTTGGGTGAGGGTATATCTGCCCTTGTGTAGGTGAGGGTATATCTGGCCTGGTGTAGGTGAGGGTATATCTGACCTTGGGTAGGTGAGGGTATATCTGGCCGTGTGTAGGTGAGGGTATATCTGGCCTTGGGTGAGGGTGTATCTTGCCTTGTGTAGGTGAGGGTATATCTGGACTTGTGTAGGTGAGGGTATATCTGGACTTGTGTAGGTGAGGGTATATCTGGACTTGTGTAGGTGAGGGTATATCTGGACTTGTGTAGGTGAGGGTGTATCTGACCTTGGGGGAGGGTATATCTGGCCTTGGGTGAGGGAGTATCTGGCCTTGTGTAGGTGAGGGTATATCTGGCCTTGTGTAGGTAAGGGTATATCTGGCCTTGTGTAGGTGAGGGTGTATCTGACCTTGGGTGAGGGTATATCTGGCCTTGTGTAGGTGAGGGTATATCTGGCCTTGGGTGAGGGTATATCTGGCCTTGTGTAGGTGAGGGTATATCTGGCCTTGGGTGAGGGTGTATCTGGCCTTGTGTAGGTGAGGGTATATCTGGCCTTGGGTGAGGGTGTATCTGGCCTTGTGTAGGTGAGGGTATATCTGGCCTTGGGTGAGGGTGTATCTGGCCTTGTGTAGGTGAGGGTATATCTGGCCTTGTGTAGGTGAGGGTATATCTGGCCTTGTGTAGGTGAGGGTATATCTGGCCTTGTGTAGGTGAGGGTATATCTGGCCTTGTGTAGGTGAGGGTATATCTGGCCTTGTGTAGGTGAGGGTATATCTGGCCTTGTGTAGGTGAGGGTATATCTGGCCTTGTGTAGGTGAGGGTATATCTGGCCTTGTGTAGGTGAGGGTATATCTGGCCTTGTGTAGGTGAGGGTATATCTGGCCTTGTGTAGGTGAGGGTATATCTGGCCTTGTGTAGGTGAGGGTATATCTGGCCTTGTGTAGGTGAGGGTATATCTGGCCTTGTGTAGGTGAGGGTATATCTGGCCTTGTGTAGGTGAGGGTATATCTGGCCTTGTGTAGGTGAGGGTATATCTGGCCTTGTGTAGGTGAGGGTATATCTGGCCTTGGGTGAGGGTGTATCTGGCCTTGTGTAGGTGAGGGTATATCTGGCCTTGGGTGAGGGTATATCTGGCCTTGTGTAGGTGAGGTTATGTGACCTATAAAAAAAAATCTACCAAAAATCTATCAAAATTGTTACTGAAATTCAAAAACATTGACATGTGAGGAAGTTATATAGAATCTTCATTTGATAGAAGATATTTTTGGCTTGGATTCCATGCTCGAAAATAATGATTTTGTTATCGCTATCCACCATCAGTTTATTATCAAGGATTGGACAGGTTTATAAATTGTTTATTGATGTATAGACCAAAAACTGAAGTGCACTCTTTGCCTTAACCATTTTGAATTTTTCGGAGTGTATATCAGTTTTCTGTCTCAATTACATCAATAAACCAATTGATTATCTATTTATTTGAATTGAAGCATAAAATTAGAAAGGAATTTTTTTATTGTACAAACTTTGAAGTGTGTGTCATTTTCATTTAAACAGAAAAGATATTTTCTAGTAATGCACAATGATTTTTACTTGATCAACCAGATGCCATATTTGTTTTTAATGCCAACAACAGTTTATTTCTAATGAAGGGTAAGATTACGATAAACCCAAAAGGGGACAATGGACATATTATTGATAAACATATATGTATCACAGTGTAAATCAGAAATGTGTAAAGCTAAACATTAACTTGGCTAATGGAATATTATCTTTAATTGAACTGCATCAATTTCACTTTTCCTAACATTATCTGTCGTAAAAAGATCTACATATAGTGATTTATATATGTCTACACAAGTAACTGTCCAAATCCTGACACGATATATAATACAGAGGATTCGCGCCAATAACAGTGAAACAGAAGCATTATAGCTTTACAGATGCATAGACAATTATAAAATAATGGTTCTAAGCATGCAGGCACAAAAGCTGTGTTTTGTTAAGTATCTCCACTGCAATTCAGGAAGAAATCTCTTAATTTTGCAATGGTCTCCATATCAGCTTCTTTACAACTAGATGAGGTGTATCACTTCGCTAATATGGAAGTTCAAATACTTCATTAACTCCATGTTGCTGTGGCGTCTCTTTTACAAATGTCTCTGAAGTACACATGTTACAAAAAAAGGATAGAAATACGTAGGATTGTCGATGTTATCTTCACGTAACTGATACACGGCCCACTGCTAACTCCATGTTTGTATATAATTTGTATCTAAAGCCTATAACTGGAATGTTACAATGGTATATCCATATCAGCCGGACAGCTGACAGTCGTTATATAATACACTGTTTCAGAATTAAGTCACTTGTTACTCAAGCTACTGCTTTAAAATGAGACAAGGTACATACTGATTTCATCATATGTTTCCTCCTTATGTCACCTGATATGCGATGGACAATGTCTTATGTCACGTGATACGCGATGGACAATGTCTAATGTCACGTGATATGCCATGGACAATGTCTTATGTCACGTGATACGCGATGGACAATGTCTTATGTCACGTGATATGCCATGGACAATGTCTTATGTCACGTGATACACGATGGACAATGTCTTATGTCACGTGATATGCCATGGACAATGTCTTATGTCACGAGATATGCGATGAACAATGTCTAATGTCATGTGATATGCGATGGACAATGTCTTATGTCACGTGATACGCGATGGACAATGTCTTATGTCACGTGATACGCGATAGACAATGTCTTATGTCACGTGATACGCGATGGACAATGCAACTAAGAGGGTGAAATATTATAAAGCTGGTACACGTATTCTATATATTCTCTAATTTTTAAAAACTCATTTGTATTTCAATTCTTTTCAACCCATATTCAATTTCATGTTAACAAACATGTCAAGATAATTTAAAAATTACTACATAGAAACAGCAGAAAATACATGGATGTCAGGGGGTCTTTGTCTAACTCACTAACAGCCGTACCTGTCATGTGTCCATATCAGGGATTATCTGAGGATGTATTTAAGTGTGTTCAGATCTGTGAATTTCCAGCCATGTATAATGCCATACAAAAAAATGTATTTTATATCCCCTGTATGCATGCTATGACAATCCAATATAGTTGAACTGGATCTTTCAAACAAGCTCATTTTTATGACGCTAATAAGGCCATGTATAGATCTTATTCAGTCATCAGAAAAGTTTCCATATCAAAAGTTCTGAAATCGAAATAATGCTGGAATTTGCGATGTCGAACAACGTGGTTGCAGACAGTTATTCAAGTGTGACATGACGTCATCAAAATATCATCTCGCTCGATAGACTATAAACCAATAAAAAAGCTTGTTACAAACAATGTTGGATTACATGTAGAACATCACACTTACTTTGGATTACAATGTTAACTTTTATTCACATCCTTCAAAAATTTCTGTTCCCAATTGCTTTCATTTTGGATTATGTGTAGGGGAATCAGCATCAGATACTATGGTAAAAAAATCAAGACTAAGCTTAAATTACAATAAATTGTGTCATGGCCGTAACACAGCAAAGTGTGAGGTGTAACGAGACTTATGAAACAGGAAAATTGATAATGTTTCAAACAATACCCAAGATATTTATGACACATGAGAAAAACTTTGTAAACTCAACACATTCTGCTTGGATGTACGGATTACTCCTATTTTCAAAGATATCTTATTTCAGTTACTAGAGTTGAAAAGGACATGATATTCTATATTTTTCACACCTGGGTATTTGTGTGTTCACAGTTAAACCCGATCCAGTTATAAATGTCACATACCTGGCTAACGATACGTATGCCCGCGTGTCCTGGAGTCACACCAGTGGCAGTAAGAACCTACGCTTTGATATACAATACTGCTCCCGCTGGGATTCCTGTCAGGTAAGGTCAGAGGTCAACTTAAAAATGGTCAGAGGTCACCTGTAAGTCGGATTACTGAAGTAAGGTCAGGGGTCATCTGTAAGTCTGATTACTGAAGTAAGGTAAGGGGGTCATCTGTAAGTCGGATTACTGAAGTAAGGTCAGAGGTCATCTGTAAGTCGGATTACTGAAGTAAGGTCAGAGGTCATCTGTAAGTTGGATTACAGAAGTATGTCAGGGGGTCATCCTTAAGAGGGATTACTAAAGTAAGGTCAGAGGTCAGCTGTAAGTAGGATTACAGAAGTATAAGATTTGGATGTCACCTGTAAGTAGTAAGGTCAGAGGTCACCTGTAAGTGGGATTACTGAGGTAAGGTCAGAGGTCACCTGTAAGTTGGATAACAGAGGTAAGGTATGGATGTCACCTGTAAGTATGATTACTGCAGTAAGGTCAGAGGTCACCTATAAATGGGGTTACTGAAGTAAGGTCAGAGGTCACCTATAAATGGGGCTACTGAAGTAAGGTCAGAGGTCACCTGTAAGTGGGATTACTGAAGTAGGGTCAGAGGTCACCTGTAAATAGGATTACTGAAGTAAGGAAGTAAGGTCAGAGGTCACTTGTAAGTTGGATTACAGAAGTAAGGTTGGAGGTCATATGTAAGTTGGATTATAGAAGTAAGGTCAGAGGTCACCTGTAATGTGGAGTCACCTGTATAGAAGATGAAATGATAAAAGTAAGGTCAGAGATTACCTGTAGATGTACTCAAAGCCATAAGTTTAGAGGTCACTTGTATAAAGATGTAGTTACAGACATTAAGTCATAAGTCATCTTTATAGACATAAATGTAAGGTCAGAGGTCACTTGTAATACATAGTTCTGGATTCCATTTTAGGCAGGGGCACTTGGAAAATGTAACTTGGTTATAAATGTAATAGAATGTATTCAGGTATTTAGAATTAGCCAAATGCTCTGGCTCAGGACTCATTTTGAATAATTTTGGTAACTAAAATAAGGCAGTAGTCACTCAATCTAATTTCTTTTTTCGTTTCATTTCATTTGAAATCAATGTTATCGCATTTAAGACACAATTGGAATTAGTACAGGCTTCTAATTGCTGGACCCAATCCCGTCTGAAGAAAAACAGCTGACGTGGTCCGTCGTCTGTCAACTTTAGTGACCAAATTTGGTGTTGTTCATCATTAGCCAAAGGGTTCTCAATTTTGTATAAACCGTGGGTATGGCTCCCTCTGGGGGGAAAAAAAAGGTAAATCTTCAAAAATCTTCTCCTTCACAACATCGGAAAGTTTTTAACCAAATTTGTTCTATAGCATTGTTGGACAAAACTGGCCTCAGGTTTGTATAAATAGAGGGTGTGGGCCCCCCCCCTGGGGGCAGGGCCCAATAGGGGAAAATATTTCTGCTTCTGTACAAATAAAGGGTTTTAAACCAAATAAGGTCTGAAGCATGCTTAGGTTAAAAAGACCCAACTTGTATAAACTGAGGCTATGGCCCCTCTGTTGGGCAGAAGGGCACATGTGGGGCCCAATAGGGGAAATAGTGAAAAAATATAAAATCCTCCCATTGTACCATGAAGGGATTTTAACCAAACTTGTACTAGAGCATCTTTGGGAAAAGGGGATTCAATTTTTAATACATTTTTAAACGGAATATGTGACCCTCCCCTGAGACTAGAGGGACAGGACCCAATAGGTGAAATAGAGATAAATCTTTTAAAAGGTTGTTCTTTCTGTGTGAAGAAAGGGATTATCACCATTTGTTATAGATCTCTTATAGGCAAAGGGGACTAAATTTTGTATAAATGGAGAGTGTGGCCCCCTTGGGGCAATAGATTGGGCCCAATAGGAGAAATAGAGCTTAACATTTAAAGTTCTTCTCCTTCTAATTCATTGAAGGGGTTTTAAGCAAATTTGGTCAAGAGCACCTTTTGTAAGTCGGTCTCAGGTTTATGTAAACAGTGTGTGGCTCCCCAGTGGGCAGAGAGGTGTGTCCTTATAGGGGAAATAGAGGTAAGTCAATAAAATCCTTCACCTTCCATAATGATTGGGATGTTTTATCCCCTACCTTATGAAGAAAAGAAAACATGTTACCAGGATATGCCCGAAGGTCCAGACCAACCCCTGGAGACTAACTCCTTGGGACATAACATGGAAACTCATTTTCTTGGTGTCTTACCCACCCAAACAGATTTACATGTAGTTCTTCTTGCAACTTAAATTTTGTGTACTCCTTTGATAAACTGGTATGATACTCAGCAGATTTTAAATTGAAAATGAAATTCCAAGTGAAATTCCCCTGCATGGGCCTCTTGTTTTTGCTTTCCATAATGAAGCCAATTTATCATGACAGTGAATAATTGTACACAGCACATTGTTCATCCTCATTACATGTGAAGGATGAAATTTACACTTTGCAGTGGATTTTACCATTGAAAGGTGAAAGTTTGGTGGAAGTTTCCTCATTTCACTATTTATATCGAGCACATGATCAAATACAAATAAAATCAACATTGGATGAAATTGTTTAAAAAATTCCTAGGCACCTGTGCAAAGTGTTTGATCGAGCTATTTTCTGGAAGCTCTGCCTCTTGTGTAAAATCCTTACCCAGGTCTTGTTCATTCTGATTTACCTATACTTTTAGACTTACAAACTTTTTAACAGGCTTTTGTGAAACTAACCTTATTTTGACACTCTTCAACATAAAATTGTCTGTTTTTTCTGCAGAATGTGGAAAGTAAATCCAGAAGTGTGACACTGTTTCACCTTGTTCCGTACACAGAGTACAATGTCAGTGTTGTTGCTAAGCCTTACTTCAACAACAGTGTGTCGGGATTCTGCAGCAATCAAGTCAACACAAGGTTCAGGACACAGCCCAAGGGTAGGACATATACTGGTCAAGGGTTCATTCTCTTATAGAAAATACATCAAAATATGTTATGTAAATATAGCAAACAAATATATGTAATTGTGTATGGAAAAATAGTGGTGTGTGTATGTAATTGTGTGTAATGCTTTCTTGTTTATTTTGGGGAAACAATTCACACAGAGGTACTGTTGAAAAATGAATATCTATTATAATTAAAATTATGAGAAGGGAAAAAATGATTCAAATTTCAAGAAATGAAATTATTTGGTGTATATCTATAATCGAACCATTTGGTATAGCAGTGTGTCGCCTACTAAAAATAGGGTCTTATGCTCTATTGTTTACAGAGTTATGGCCCTTCATTCACTCTTTCGTGTAAATATAGAAGATTTCCTGGAAGTGGGGAATCTTTGACTGCTCACAATACTTTGTTTTCATCGACAGTGTATGTTACAGCTTTTCAGTGCACATATAACCGTTAAAAAACACTTGTAAAGTAGTATAATTATGCTGATCATTCTGTTGTCTAAAATGTCATTTTCTTTGACAAGCCATTTCTTTTCTATTTTCAGTTCCACTCTATAACCCGAAGATGCAGCCAGGATTCTATGAGAGCATTAACGACACCAGCATCATTCTGTACTGGAAGGTACTTAATAGAGAAAACAGTATCGCAATAACACACCATCATTCTGTACTGGAAGGTACTTATAGAGAAAACAGTATTGCAATAACACACCATCATTCTGTACTGGAAGGTACTTATAGAGAAAACAGTATTGCAATAACACACCATCATTCTATACTGGAAGGTACTTATAGAGAAAACAGTATTGCAATAACACAGCATCATTCTGTACTGGAAGGTACTTATAGAAAAAACAGTATCGCAATAACACACCATCATTCTGTACTGGAAGGTACTTATAGAGAAAACAGTATCGCAATAACACACCATCATTCTAAACTGGAAGGTACTTATAAAGAAAACAGTATCACAATAACACACCATCATTCTGTACTGGAAGGTCCTTATAGAGAAAACAGTATTGCAATAACACAGCATCATTCTGTTCTGGAAGGTACTTATAGAGAAAACAGTATTGCACTAACACACCATCATTCTGTACTGGAAGGTCCTTATAGAGAAAACAGTATTGCAATAACACAGCATCATTCTGTTCTGGAAGGTACTTATAGAGAAAACAGTATCGCAATAACACACCATCATTCTATACTGGAAGGTACTTATAAAGAAAACAGTATCACAATAACACACCATCATTCTGTACTGGAAGGTACTTATAGAGAAAACAGTATTGCAATAACACACCATCATTAGTTATGTCATGTAAACAAGTGTCAGGCAATCAAGATTGATCAGTAATACATTGAGTGACAAAGATACAGAAAAAATAACATGTCTACTTTTTGGCCAGATTTCCTGAATGAAACCGGTTATGTCTTCGGCTTGTTTGATAATGCGGACCAAGTGGTTTGTCTATATTTTAAGATGTTATGTTTCAGGGATAAAACCTGATGACCTGCAAGTATTCATGCAGGCCTTCAAAGTCTTTCTCAAGGCTCACCAGAATACAATACAAAATCACTAGGTCCGTCCCTATTTCATAAACGAACAAATCTGGTCTAACCGGTCCAACTGTTTGGAACACGATAAACACTAACGGCCCTGAGTCTAGACAGGTGATACAATAAACACTAACGGCCCCAAGTCTAGACAGGTGATACAATAAACACTAACGACCCCGAGTCTAGACAGGTGATACAATAAACACGAACGGCCCTGAGTCTAGACAGGTGATACAATAAACACTAACGTCCCTGAATCTAGACAGGTGATACAATAAACACTAACAGCCCCGAGTCTAGACAGGTGATACAATAAACACCAACGGCCCCGAGTCTAGACAGGTGATACAATAAACACTAACGTCCCCGAGTCTAGACACGTGATACAATAAACACTAACGGCCCTGAGTCTAGACAGGTGATACAATAAACACTAACGGCCCCGGCCCCGAGTCTAGACAGGTGATACAATAAACACTAACGGCCCCGAGTCTAGACAGGTGATACAATAAACACTAATGGCCCTGTGTCTAGACAGGTGATACATCTAGCTGTTTGATAGCTTCATTGTCTTTGCCCCTGTAACAGTATTTGCTATGTTGACTACAGATCTCAATTTGATCATTTGTAAGCTTTCTGTTTTCCCTCAACAGAACATTCCTGAAATGGTTCAATACGGACGTATTAAACTGTATAATGCCACTAGCTACCTCCTGGAGAATGGAACACAGATCATGGTAGTCCCAACACTATTCTCCACCATTAAACATGCCAGTACACAGCAGAACTTTTTAATCATTAACGAGCTTTGTACAACCTGTAAATACCGTGTGGAGCTGGCCCTGAAAAATGTGAAGGGGTACTCGCTCAATGATTCCTCACAGCTTTTTCTTCTACCTGTAATCCAAAGTAAGTGTGATGTTCTACCTGTAATCCCAGTAAGCTTGATGTTCTACCTGTAATCCCAGTAAGTGTGGTGTTCTGCCTGTAATCCAAAGTAAATGTGATGTTCTACCTGTAATCCAAAGTAAGTGTGATGTTCTACCTGTAGTTCAAAGTAAGTGTGATGTTAGTAAGTGTGATGTAAGTGTGATGTTAGTAAGTGTGATGTGTACATGTAATTTGCCTTATATCAATAGTCTTGGATCATATAGAAGGGAAGGGGAGATAATTTCAGTTAATCTCTGTTACACTGCCACCATTTGACCAGTAGAATATTGGCGGTATAGAAGGATTTGTTAGTGCATTGCAGTAGAAGATATTAGGTGATTGAATGGAAGAAAAGAAATGGGGACCTTCAAATAAATAAATAAATAAATAAATAAAAACAATTCTTTACAGGGCCTGTCGTGAAACACATTGACAACTTCAAGGTGGAAGCTTTGAACGAGACGTACGTAAGAATAATGTGGCTAGACCAAAAACAGTCTTACGCACCAACCGTCAGATCTATAACTAACTACAGCATTGTGTGGTGTCGTCGTAAAAACCTCACTGACCTCTGTAAGGTAATGTACTGACTAACTTTGACCACTATTATGTCAATCTGTAAATATTTGACAGTCTGTTTGTTTGAACTACAGTAAAGCATACAAACAAGCTTATATAGCTATTTCTTGTTCATCATAAAGTGGTTATTGAACTGTAAAGAAAAGTTAAAAGGGAATCTTCAGATATGTCGATATCAAAAGAGTTTGCATAAAAAAGGGACTATCACTATGTGTTAATGACACCGGATATTGCTACCAGGCAGGTGGTGATCACACAAGGTGGACTGCAGTTGAAGGTGAGTTTTTTCTATATTTTCCTTACTTCAGAGGCTTTCATGTGCTCGAGGCTTTTTGGATCAATACCTCACATTTTCAGCGTTTGCTAAAACCATAGAAAATGTTCATATATGGGTCAATATTTCTTCCAGACTTACAAACATGTCGTCTGGTATCGGTGAAAAATTGAGTGATAACTATCAATCAAGTGTCTGAATTTGTAGTACTTCCCTCCACATATTTTACTGCCTACAGCTTATAATAAAGATGTATCTACACTACACACATTCATTGTGTCGGTGAAAGCATTGTATTAAGGTAATAGGATTGTGTCACCATTTCTCAGTAGAATTTCTTCCAATTTTGTAGTTATACCTGTATAGCGTTAAAGTAAAGAAAAATTTCTGCCACAAAAAAAATATAGGTTGTCAGAATTTAAAGGATTTGAAATGAAAATTTATGTAAAAAGGAGTGAGTTTTGAAAAAAAAATGAAAGACACAATTTTAGGCAAAATAATGTCAATAAAAATGATACTGACATAGATTAGTATTGAATTAATGTATATCAATTTAATAAATGCTGAAATTGTGTAAAATTAATTATCTATAAACGTTTAAAAATTGACATTTTATAATAAAACCATGTACATATAGTAATTGCATGTAAAGAGTTATCTTTCTTGAAAAACTTCACAGTAGTTAAATAGATAGCCGGGTTCCTGAAGTACAGAAAAATGGACACATGTGACTCATTGATAAAAAACAACTGAATTAATGCCTGGATTGCTTTGAAATACTTTAATATTGAGAGAACACACTGTTCTGTCAATAATAAACATGCAATATTTATCAGTTTAATATTAAACATCAGAATATGCGGAAATTGTGGTACTGTCTCCCTACATTGGATTTTCAACTAGGGATGCACTTCCTATTTCCGTTTATCAATACACTCCTATGACCTTAAATGAAATATCGTCAAAAAAAAATCGTCGAACTGTACGGCAACTTGAATGTTTGTTTTTAGATTACTGTACGGCATCATGCAAATTGCAAGTCGCTGTACAATGCTATGAAATTATGTCAGCACATTTCTCATAACAACGAGTTCATAAATACGATAAATGTAATTAATGCATATACATATTAATTAGTTATAGGTAGTGATTTTTCTTTTTATACATTTTCCAAAATTTCATGACATAAACATATATATATATCCATACAATGTGCATGGGCGTCTAGAATCACCTTTAAATAATGTACATACTGTTCAAAATATTTGATCAAGTATCAGTATTCGTCATACATATATATTAATAAATAAATATACATTCACATTTTTGATTTAAAAATAAACTTCCGGACATTCTTGTCCCACTACAAATATTAATTCAGACACGTGATAAGTATCACTCGTGAGTTTTCGCTGATACCAGGCGGCATGTTTTCAAGTCTAGAAGAAATATTGACCCATATAGGAATTTTCTCTGTGGTGTAAGCCATGCTAAAAATATGAGGAATTGATCCAAAAAGCCCCAAGAACATATACAAGCCTCTGAAGAAAGGAAATGATAAAAAAAATCTACCCTGCAGCGGAAGCCCACTTCATGTGATCAACCGCCTGCCTGGTAGCAATATCTGGTGTCGTTAACACACAGTGAATATATCTCTTCCATATTTTCTCAAGAATTTAACTTGTTTTTCACAAAAAAAGACTGAATCCTTTAATTATCATACTTACATGGTCACCAGGGGGAGCTACAGGATAAGGTGGTGCGGAAATCAATAAAGGAATTGGAGGTGAATTTGGAGGGGTCATTCCGTGACTACAGATTTGGGATGTCGGTGGAAGTACAGACCAACAAGGGTCTATTGGTCAGCAGTGGAATTGTGTGGGGGACATCCATACCCTTCCTTAAATATGGAGGTATAAACTGTTTTGTTTTCTTATTGTGTACAATGGGATTTTGTTTGTAGTTCCTAGACTCAGGGGAAACATATATTCTTTCACACTTATATTTAAGAACTCAAAAAATTCCAACATGACAAGATATGTCTCTTCAATACAATGATTTTTCATGTTTAAATACTTAAAAAACTGAACTCTGAGCATGCAATATTTTTTGAAACCTTGATGTTATTTAGCTTGTATACACACTCTCAAGGTCTCAGAGGTCAAATGGGCTAAAAAAAATCACGAACTGACCCTGGTATGAATAACAAAAATAGTCATGATATTTGGCCTCAAGTATGCTGCTAAAGGCTGTCAGGTTTGTTAATTGACCATCTTAAATGTAGCATAAATAAATTCAGAGAAATGTTCCAACATAGAACCATAAGGCATAATAGGATTAAACCTGTAGACAATTAGTGGCTTTCTTGCTCTCAAGTTTGCAGGGGACTGCATTGAATAACAGGTGTACAATACAGGCCCATCTGGCCTCTTGTTCTATAGTTTAGCACAACTTTCACTTATGTACATGGTAGTTGAATATTCCAAGCAGCGAATGTCTGAATGCAAATTGTTTATTGTAAATTATCAGGGATAGCATTCACTTAGTTTGTATGAATAAAAAATGTAACAAAAGTTAAAGAGTTTACAAGCAAAGTTATTAAAATTGAGCAATCACGGTTTTAAGCAAGTCATTGCTTTTATCCTTTTGGTAGAGCGTTCACATGTATTTACTGAATTTGAGGAAAAGGCTACATAGTAGATCAGTATACATACACATTAATAGTTTTGGAACTCTTCTGTTTTACATGTGTATCCATGGCACTACATTGTCCAACACAGCACAATGATATTTTTTCCAGAATTTCTTTTGAAATAATCAACTGTCCATAATCTACTTCATTATTCCTTTATCCAGAATTCACATAACCCAGGAATCAATCCAAGAAGCGGCGGTTCCAGGTTATGACTAATATCCAAGTACAATGTATTAGAAAATAAACAATTGTCTTGCAATGATGCTTTGTAAATCATGTTTTATCATGTATTATTTCTTGCAGTTCCTACAGATGCCCCTCCAGACGTAGAAACAACCCTCACTGAACCCAGTGGCTTCAACATGACCTGGGGACCATATGAGACTAGTTCCCCAGATCATAGCCCTGCTGTGTCCTACCAGGTTACCTACTGTAGTAAACACAATTGTACAGGTAATTAGGTCTATCTAGATAACTCTGCAGTGGTCTTATAGATTCATTTTTGTCTTGCCGCCACGAAGTAGCTGAAGCCAGACTCAGGTGTTGCTTTTCCGGCAGCTGCGGCGTCAACATTAAGTTTCTGTGTTTAAGTTAGTTTCACTGAAAGTATAAGTGTTATGTCACGAATTCGAGTAGTGAATACCGCATGATGGAGGTAGAATCAACAACAAAGATATAAATTTCTCCTCCAAATTAGGAAGACGCAGTATCGGATCTGATGTCAGCAGTTTCTTTAGCATTGTAAATGCATGGTCCTGGGTTTCTGTCCAAACCAGTTTATTTGGGAGTCCTTTCTTGTGTGATCCGTTATGGGAACAGCAGTAGTAGCGAAGCTTGGTATAAACTTCCTGTAGTAGTTCACCAGCACCATAAACGAGCGTACCTGTTTCTTTGTGGTGTGCTGAGGAGCCTTTTACGCTTCAATCTTTTCAGGAGTTGGTCGGATAAGATCATTGCCCACAATGTGTCCTAGACACTCCACACTAGCAAAACCAAAGAAGCACTTTGGCGGTCGCACTGTCAAGTTGACCCTCTTTAGGGGCTCAAACAAAGAACGTGGTGTCTCTAGGTGGTTCTCCCAAGATGCATCAAAAATGAGAATGTCATCTAAAAAGTTGTCCAAATCCTCCACTCCGTCCAAGAGTTTCCGCATTAGCCGACTGAAGGTTGCTGGGGCGTTCATTAGTCCGAAGCTCATTACTTTGAACTGGAAGAGTCCAAACGGAGTGCTGAAGGCACTTTTACGTTTTGCCTCGTTGTCCATAGGGGCTTGCCAGTACCCCTTGCTCAAGTCAAAAAATAGTTGCACCCTGTCAGTTTCACAAACAGATCTTCAGCAGATCTAGATGGCATAGGCTCAGCGTCGAACACCGTAACTTTATTCAATTGACGATAGTCTATATAGAATCTACATGTTCCATCACGGTTCTTAATGCGTACCACTGGTGCTGAGTAATCAGAGTTAGATGGTCCAATCACATCCATTGTAAGCATCTTATCAACCTCTTTGTGGATTGTCTCCTTTGTGTGATAAGGAGTAGGTACGGTTTAACACGAACTGGTTTATCTGTCGTAGTGGTTATACTGTGCGTTGCTTGGATACGGCCTACCTTTCATGGTCCATTAACTTTGTCAGCATCTCCATCAACATTAAGTTTTTGCGTTAGAGAGAAACTATAAGTGCTAGACCAAACAAACTTGACATGTGCATTGATGGTCAAAGCGGGGCACAGGCGAGACATACCAATCCGAATGGCTTGTAGTTTGTGATATTTGTTTAATTACTCAGTATGAAAATTTAAGCTTTTCTTGTTATTCAAAAGGATCACCTTTCAACAGAATAGAATTCATTGTTTTTACATGTGTGATACTTCTAGCTGTGCATAGACCATGACCTGGTCAACCTTTATCTGACATCACATGCCATATCCAATAGTATTACATTATGCAGAAGTGAATTGAAGCTTAATGATCATACATCAGACCACCCTTGATGCCAAAACTAAAACTTACACAATCAGATTGGCTATGTCAACAATTAGCCACCAGACTCACATATGGTAATGATACAGAAAGGGTAGTAAATGTTGATTTACTATCAAGCACTCCAAGGGTCAGATGGATGTCGATAGTATGCTTTATGTGGTGACACAGGTCAGACTGACCAAAGTTACAATGGATTAGAACGTTAGGCAAACCTACAAAACGCAATCATCTCATATTTCTCACCTTCTTGTTTTCTGCTGAACAGAGCTACATTGTATTTAAAACATTACATATAAGACATTCAAGTTGATTTTTTTCCAGCTGTAATTATTACTGCCAGTGACAACATGATGCAGTTCTCTGTTAACTCATTGATGCCTGGACCCTACAACTGTACTGTCCACGGGGTGTTTCCCGGGGGAGACGGACCAAAGAGCACTCCCTCCAAAATGGTGGTTGGATCAGCTGGTAATATGGCGGCCTCAGTTTCAGGTAAGGATAGTTAATGTATCTTGTTTGTATCTATTTATGCCTCCATGGCTCTGCTTACTTCATTTCTTAAAAGAAATCATCAAAGTTTATATACAAAGGTCAAGTATGTGAATACCTCAGATGAGTTTGTTTTTCAGGGTACCAAGGTTAATGCCAAGGTCACTGTTGCTTTTTAAAGGTTTTGTCAACAAATCTACTGTCAACAGCTTACCAACTGCTGGGGCAAGGGGACACCCATGTCTTACTGACGTTTTCTGGTTTATTATGTGATTACAACTCTCAGAATGAATTTGAACAACAAATCAAAATTATATCTGCCACTATTGATCCTTGGGCAAACAGGCTGATAGAGAAAGAGAAATGTAATGCCTTTAAGAGTATTGGCTCATTCTCAAAAACTGATCGTGAGGTAACTGCTGCAGTAGCTTTAAATCAACCACATTTAAAACTAAATGGGGTTTTTCCAAGTATGTGAATGGCACTAGATATGTATGTTTTGTTTTGTTTTGTTTCCTGACATGAATAAGTTCATTTGTTTTCTGTTGACAGGGGAAGGTGATGGTTCCATGGGTATTATCATTGGGGCTGTTGTAGGGGCTCTTCTCCTATTGATAGTCCTTGTCCTGCTTGGCGTGAAATGCAAGTAAGTTTATGGCAATTAGGGTTACTGAGGCCAAGTCAGATCACTAAAGCAGGGTAATCTTACCAAAGTCAATTACTAAAGCAGGGTCATCTCCCCAATGTTAATCACTAAAGCAGGGTAATCTTACCAAAGTCAATCACTAAAGCAGGGTAATCTTACCAAAGTCAATTACTAAAGCAGGGTAATCTTACCAAAGTCAATCACTAAAGCAGGGTAATCTTACCAAAGTCAATTACTAAAGCAGGGTAATCTTACCAAAGTCAATCACTAAAGCAGGGTAATCTTACCAAAGTCAATTACTAAAGCAGGGTAATCTTACCAAAGTCAATTACTAAAGCAGGGTCATCTCCCCAATGTTTATCACTAAAGCAGGGTAATCTTACCAAAGTCAATTACTAAAGCAGGGTAATCTTACCAAAGTCAATTACTAAAGCAGGGTAATCTTACCAAAGTCAATTACTAAAGCAGGGTAATCTTACCAAAGTCAATTACTAAAGCAGGGTCATCTCCCCAGTGTTAATCACTAAAGCAGGGTAATCTTACCAAAGTCAATTACTAAAGCAGGGTCATCTCCCCAATGTTAATCACTAAAGCAGGGTAATCTTACCAAAGTCAACTAGAGTTAATGAAGCCAAGTCAGATCACTAAAGCAGGGTAATCTTACCAAAGTCAATTACTAATGCAGGGTAATCTCACCAAAGTCAACTAGAGTTACTGAAGCCAAGTCAGATCACTAAAGCAGGGTAATCTCACCATAGAGTTACTGAAGCCAAGGCAGATCACTTAAGCAGGGTAGGTTTAACAAAGTGAAATTGGGTTACTAAAGTAAGGTAGGGCTATTAAAATCAGATTATGTTACCAAAGCCTGATACTGAATTCAAGTTGGAACATCAAAGTCAGGTAAGGTTACAAAAGTCTATCAGGGTTGAATTTTGTAATGCAACCAAGTTCAGTAGGATATACCTGAGTTAGATTGGGCGACCTTAGTTAGGTTTAACAGATTTAAGTAGGTTACCAAAGTTAGAAAGGGTTACCTCAGTTAAGTAGGGTTACCAAAATTAGAAAGGGTTACCTTAGTTAGGTAGGGTTACCAAAACTAGAAAGGGTTACCTCAGTAAGGTAGGGTTACCAAAGTTAGAAAGGGTTACCTAAGTTAGATACGGTTACCTAAGTTAGAAAGGGTTTCCTCGGTAAGGTAGGGTTACCAAAATTAGAAAGGGTTACCTCAGTTAGGTAGGGTTGCCAAAGTTAGAAAACTAAGTTAGGTAGGGTTACCAAAACTAGAAAGGGTTACCTCAGTAAAGTAGGGTTACCAAAGTTAGAAAGGGTTACCTAAGTTAGGTAGGGTTACCAAAGTTAGAAAGGGTTACCTCAGTAAGGTAGGGTCACCCAAGTTTTAGAAAAGGTTACCTTAGTTAGGTAGGGTCATCAAAGTTAGAAAGGGTTACCTAAGTTAGGTAGGGTCACCAAAGTTAGAAAGGGTTACCTAAGTTAGGTAGGGTTACCAAAGTTAGAAACCTAAGTTAGGTAGGGTTACCAAAACTAGAAAGGGTTACCTCAGTAAGGTAGGGTTACCAAAGTTAGAAAGGGTTACCTAAGTTAGGTAGGGTTACCAAAGTTATAAAGGGTTACCTCAGTAAGGTAGGGTCACCAAAGTTTTAGAAAAGGTAACCTAAGTTAGGTAGGGTCATCAAAGTTAGAAAGGGTTAACTAAGTTAGGTAGGGTCACCAAAGTTAGAAAGGGTTACCTAAGTTAGGTAGGGTCACCAAAGTTAGATTGGGTTACCTAAGTTAGGTAGGGTTACCAAAGTTAGAAAGGGTTACCTAAGCTAGGTAGGGTTACCAAAGTTATAAAGGGTTACCTCAGTAAGGTAGGGTCACCAAAGTTAGAAAGGGTTACCTAAGTTAGGAAGGGTCACCAAAGTTGGAAAGGGTTACCTAAGTTAGGTAGGGTCATCAAAGTTAGAAAGGGTTACCTAAGTTAGGTAGGGTCACCAAAGGTAGAAAGGGTTACCTAAGTTAGGTAGGGTCACCAGAGTTAGAAAGGGTTACCTCAGTAAGGTAGGGTCACCAAAGTTAGAAAGGTTTACCTAAGTTAGGTAGGGTCACCAAAGTTAGATTGGGTTACCTAAGTTAGGTAGGGTTACCAAAGTTATAAAGGGTTACCTCAGTAAGGAAGGGTCACCAAAGTTTTAGAAAAGGTAACCTAAGTTAGGTAGGGTCATCAAAGTTAGAAAGGGTTAACTAAGTTAGGTAGGGTCACCAAAGTTAGAAAGGGTTACCTAAGTTAGGTAGGGTCCCCAAAGTTAGAAAGGGTTACCTAAGTTAGGTAGGGTCACCAGAGTTAGAAAGGGTTACCTCAGTAAGGTAGGGTCACCAAAGTTTTAGAAAAGGTAACCTAAGTTAGGTAGGGTCATCAAAGTTAGAAAGGGTTAACTAAGTTAGGTAGGGTCACCAAAGTTAGAAAGGGTTACGTAAGTTAGGTAGGGTCACCAAAGTTAGGTTGGATTACCTAAGTTAGGTTGGGTTACCAAAGTTAGAAAGGGTTACCTAAGTTAGGTAGGGTTACCAAAGTTAGAAAGGGTTACCTCAGTAAGGTAGGGTCACCAAAGTTAGAAAGGGTTACCTAAGTTAGGTAGGGTCACCAAAGTTAGAAAGGGTTACCTCAGTAAGGTAGGGTCACCAAAGTTAGAAAGGGTTACCTAAGTTAGGTAGGGTCACCAAAGTTAGAAAGGGTTACCTAAGTTAGGTAGGGTCACCAAAGTTAGAAAGGGTTACCTAAGTTAGGTAGGGTCACCAAAGTTAGAAAGGGTTACCTAAGTTAGGTAGGGTCACCAAAGTTAGAAAGGGTTACCTAAGTTAGGTAGGGTCACCAAAGTTAGAAAGGGTTACCTAAGTTAGGTAGGGTCACCAAAGTTAGAAAGGGTTACCTAAGTTAGGTAGGGTCACCAAAGTTAGAAAGGGTTACCTAAGTTAGGTAGGGTCACCAAAGTTAGAAAGGGTTACCTAAGTTAGGTAGGGTCACCAAAGTTAGAAAGGGTTACGTAAGTTAGGTAGCATTACTTAAGGCAGGTAAACCTACCTAAATGTATATCCAAACCTTTTACATCATTTCATTACCACAAGTACAATTATATGTACCTCTAATTCTGGTTCAACTTTCCATCACCTCAAATAACTATCTGTACAGTATATATCTGCTACTGTTTATATTTCAGGAAAATAAACCACAAAGCTTATATTGCTACAAAAGAAATTGAAGTCCCAGAGGTGGAAAAAAGGACGTCACATGTATGTATCTCCCCGTCAGATTGAACTTCACTACACAGGTTCATGATCCATTTTATGACAGTTTTGAATGAAAAAAATGAAACATCTGTTGCTCCCTATGCAAGATTAATAGAACCATTCATCCAATGGGATGTGATAGGGGGATCTTAAACCAAGGATGAAGAGTTTTCAACTCAAGGCATTACAAGTGTTTGGCTACTAATAAATCTTCCTCAAAAATGTTAAGATCCCACAAAAGGGGTTTTGCCAAATTTGAAAACCCTGAAAGTGGAATTTCCCTACCCTACAGATTTGGGCATGAAAGAGTATTTTTCTCTCATTCCTACTACCAGAATAAGCTCAGAAACCATAAAAATGTGTTTGGATTGGTTACCATTTTGAAAATATCAACTTTTACCCTTAGCTTTTTAGATGAAAACGAATCTGTCTGCGAGATTAAGCATACCCCATAAATGCAAACGGAGTTTGTGCAGAAAAATCAATTTTATCTTTCTTACATGTAAGGTAAATATTTCGTAAAAGCTTTTAACTTCATCACGTTGCGTTTTCTGCATTGCAGCATAAGACTTTTCCAAATTCGTGACATCACATCATCGTTGAGCAATTGTGATGTCAGGTCAGGGAAACAGTAGAAATTAAACTTTCTTACACTCCCTTCTTACCTTGGACCGCTCTATCTTACACTTCCTTCTTACCCTGGACAGCTCTATCTTACACCCCTTCTTACTCTGGACAGCTCTATCTTACACTCCTTCTTACCCTGGACAGCTCTATCTTACCCTCCCTTCTTACCCTGCACAGCTCTATATTACACTCCCTTCTTACCTGGACAGCTCTATCTTACACCCCTTCTTACCCTGGACAGCTCTATTTTACACTCCCTTCTAACCCTGGACAGCTCTATCTTACACCCCTTTCTTAACCTGGACAGCTCTATTTTACACTCCCTTCTAACCCTGGACAGCCCTATCTTACCCTCCCATCTTACCTGGACAGCTCTATCTTACCCTCCCTTCTTACCTGGACAGCTCTATCTTACACTCCCTTCTTACCTGGACAGCTCTATCTTACACCCCTTCTTACCCTGGACAGCTCTATTTTACACTCCCTTCTAACCCTGGACAGCTCTATCTTACACCCCTTTCTTACCCTGGACAGCTCTATTTTACACTCCCTTCTAACCCTGGACAGCTCTATCTTACACCCCTTTCTTAACCTGGACAGCTCTATTTTACACTCCCTTCTAACCCTGGACAGCCCTATCTTACCCTCCCATCTTACCTGGACAGCTCTATCTTACCCTCCCTTCTTACCTGGACAGCTCTATCTTACACTCCCTTCTTACCTGGACAGCTCTATCTTACACCCCTTCTTACCCTGGACAGCTCTATTTTACACTCCCTTCTAACCCTGGACAGCTCTATCTTACACCCCTTTCTTACCCTGGACAGCTCTATCTTACACCCCTTCTTACCCTGGACAGCTCTATCTTACACTCCCTTCTTACCCTGGACAGCTCTATCTTACACTCCCTTCTTACCCTGCACAGCTCTATCTTACACTCCCTTCTTACCCTGGACAGCTCTATCTTACACTCCCTTCTTACCCTGGACAGCTCTATCTTACACTCCCTTCTTACCCTGGACAGCTCTATCTTACACTCCCTTCTTACCCTGGACAGCTCTATCTTACACTCCCTTCTTACCCTGGACAGCTCTATCTTACACTCCCTTCTTACCCTGGACAGCTCTATCTTACACTCCCTTCTTACCCTGGACAGCTCTATCTTACACTCCCTTCTTACCCTGGACAGCTCTATCTTACACTCCCTTCTTACCCTGGACAGCTCTATCTTACACTCCCTTCTTACCCTGGACAGCTCTATCTTACACTCCCTTCTTACCCTGGACAGCTCTATCTTACACTCCCTTCTTACCCTGGACAGCTCTATCTTACACTCCCTTCTTACCCTGGACAGCTCTATCTTACACTCCCTTCTTACCCTGGACAGCTCTATCTTACACTCCCTTCTTACCCTGGACAGCTCTATCTTACACTCCCTTCTTACCCTGGACAGCTCTATCTTACACTCCCTTCTTACCCTGGACAGCTCTATCTTACACTCCCTTCTTACCCTGGACAGCTCTATCTTACACTCCCTTCTTACCCTGGACAGCTCTATCTTACACTCCCTTCTTACCCTGGACAGCTCTATCTTACACTCCCTTCTTACCCTGGACAGCTCTATCTTACACTCCCTTCTTACCCTGGACAGCTCTATCTTACACTCCCTTCTTACCCTGGACAGCTCTATCTTACACTCCCTTCTTACCCTGGACAGCTCTATCTTACACTCCATTCTTACCCTGGACAGCTCTATCTTACACCCCTTACTTACCCTGGACAGCTCTATCTTACACCCCTTCTTACCCTGGACAGCTCTACCTTACACCCCCTTCTTACTCTGGACAGCTCTATCTTACACTCCCTTCTTACCCTGGACAGCTCTATCTTACACTCCCTTCTTACCCTGGACAGCTCTATCTTACACTCCCTTCTTACCCTGGACAGCTCTATCTTACACTCCCTTCTTACCCTGGACAGCTCTATCTTACACTCCCTTCTTACCCTGGACAGCTCTATCTTACACTCCCTTCTTACCCTGGACAGCTCTATCTTACACTCCCTTCTTACCCTGGACAGCTCTATCTTACACTCCCTTCTTACCCTGGACAGCTCTATCTTACACTCCCTTCTTACCCTGGACAGCTCTATCTTACACTCCCTTCTTACCCTGGACAGCTCTATCTTACACTCCCTTCTTACCCTGGACAGCTCTATCTTACACTCCCTTCTTACCCTGGACAGCTCTATCTTACACTCCCTTCTTACCCTGGACAGCTCTATCTTACACTCCCTTCTTACCCTGGACAGCTCTATCTTACACTCCCTTCTTACCCTGGACAGCTCTATCTTACACTCCCTTCTTACCCTGGACAGCTCTATCTTACACTCCCTTCTTACCCTGGACAGCTCTATCTTACACTCCCTTCTTACCCTGGACAGCTCTATCTTACACTCCCTTCTTACCCTGGACAGCTCTATCTTACACTCCCTTCTTACCCTGGACAGCTCTATCTTACACTCCCTTCTTACCCTGGACAGCTCTATCTTACACTCCCTTCTTACCCTGGACAGCTCTATCTTACACTCCCTTCTTACCCTGGACAGCTCTATCTTACACTCCCTTCTTACCCTGGACAGCTCTATCTTACACTCCCTTCTTACCCTGGACAGCTCTATCTTACACTCCCTTCTTACCCTGGACAGCTCTATCTTACACTCCCTTCTTACCCTGGACAGCTCTATCTTACACTCCCTTCTTACCCTGGACAGCTCTATCTTACACTCCCTTCTTACCCTGGACAGCTCTATCTTACACTCCCTTCTTACCCTGGACAGCTCTATCTTACACTCCCTTCTTACCCTGGACAGCTCTATCTTACACTCCCTTCTTACCCTGGACAGCTCTATCTTACACTCCCTTCTTACCCTGGACAGCTCTATCTTACACTCCCTTCTTACCCTGGACAGCTCTATCTTACACTCCCTTCTTACCCTGGACAGCTCTATCTTACACTCCCTTCTTACCCTGGACAGCTCTATCTTACACTCCCTTCTTACCCTGGACAGCTCTATCTTACACTCCCTTCTTACCCTGGACAGCTCTATCTTACACTCCCTTCTTACCCTGGACAGCTCTATCTTACACTCCCTTCTTACCCTGGACAGCTCTATCTTACACTCCCTTCTTACCCTGGACAGCTCTATCTTACACTCCCTTCTTACCCTGGACAGCTCTATCTTACACTCCCTTCTTACCCTGGACAGCTCTATCTTACACTCCCTTCTTACCCTGGACAGCTCTATCTTACACTCCCTTCTTACCCTGGACAGCTCTATCTTACACTCCCTTCTTACCCTGGACAGCTCTATCTTACACTCCCTTCTTACCCTGGACAGCTCTATCTTACACTCCCTTCTTACCCTGGACAGCTCTATCTTACACTCCCTTCTTACCCTGGACAGCTCTATCTTACACTCCCTTCTTACCCTGGACAGCTCTATCTTACACTCCCTTCTTACCCTGGACAGCTCTATCTTACACTCCCTTCTTACCCTGGACAGCTCTATCTTACACTCCCTTCTTACCCTGGACAGCTCTATCTTACACTCCCTTCTTACCCTGGACAGCTCTATCTTACACTCCCTTCTTACCCTGGACAGCTCTATCTTACACTCCCTTCTTACCCTGGACAGCTCTATCTTACACTCCCTTCTTACCCTGGACAGCTCTATCTTACACTCCCTTCTTACCCTGGACAGCTCTATCTTACACTCCCTTCTTACCCTGGACAGCTCTATCTTACACTCCCTTCTTACCCTGGACAGCTCTATCTTACACTCCCTTCTTACCCTGGACAGCTCTATCTTACACTCCCTTCTTACCCTGGACAGCTCTATCTTACACTCCCTTCTTACCCTGGACAGCTCTATCTTACACTCCCTTCTTACCCTGGACAGCTCTATCTTACACTCCCTTCTTACCCTGGACAGCTCTATCTTACACTCCCTTCTTACCCTGGACAGCTCTATCTTACACTCCCTTCTTACCCTGGACAGCTCTATCTTACACTCCCTTCTTACCCTGGACAGCTCTATCTTACACTCCCTTCTTACCCTGGACAGCTCTATCTTACACTCCCTTCTTACCCTGGACAGCTCTATCTTACACTCCCTTCTTACCCTGGACAGCTCTATCTTACACTCCCTTCTTACCCTGGACAGCTCTATCTTACACTCCCTTCTTACCCTGGACAGCTCTATCTTACACTCCCTTCTTACCCTGGACAGCTCTATCTTACACTCCCTTCTTACCCTGGACAGCTCTATCTTACACTCCCTTCTTACCCTGGACAGCTCTATCTTACACTCCCTTCTTACCCTGGACAGCTCTATCTTACACTCCCTTCTTACCCTGGACAGCTCTATCTTACACTCCCTTCTTACCCTGGACAGCTCTATCTTACACTCCCTTCTTACCCTGGACAGCTCTATCTTACACTCCCTTCTTACCCTGGACAGCTCTATCTTACACTCCCTTCTTACCCTGGACAGCTCTATCTTACACTCCCTTCTTACCCTGGACAGCTCTATCTTACACTCCCTTCTTACCCTGGACAGCTCTATCTTACACTCCCTTCTTACCCTGGACAGCTCTATCTTACACTCCCTTCTTACCCTGGACAGCTCTATCTTACACTCCCTTCTTACCCTGGACAGCTCTATCTTACACTCCCTTCTTACCCTGGACAGCTCTATCTTACACTCCCTTCTTACCCTGGACAGCTCTATCTTACACTCCCTTCTTACCCTGGACAGCTCTATCTTACACTCCCTTCTTACCCTGGACAGCTCTATCTTACACTCCCTTCTTACCCTGGACAGCTCTATCTTACACTCCCTTCTTACCCTGGACAGCTCTATCTTACACTCCCTTCTTACCCTGGACAGCTCTATCTTACACTCCCTTCTTACCCTGGACAGCTCTATCTTACACTCCCTTCTTACCCTGGACAGCTCTATCTTACACTCCCTTCTTACCCTGGACAGCTCTATCTTACACTCCCTTCTTACCCTGGACAGCTCTATCTTACACTCCCTTCTTACCCTGGACAGCTCTATCTTACACTCCCTTCTTACCCTGGACAGCTCTATCTTACACTCCCTTCTTACCCTGGACAGCTCTATCTTACACTCCCTTCTTACCCTGGACAGCTCTATCTTACACTCCCTTCTTACCCTGGACAGCTCTATCTTACACTCCCTTCTTACCCTGGACAGCTCTATCTTACACTCCCTTCTTACCCTGGACAGCTCTATCTTACACTCCCTTCTTACCCTGGACAGCTCTATCTTACACTCCCTTCTTACCCTGGACAGCTCTATCTTACACTCCCTTCTTACCCTGGACAGCTCTATCTTACACCCCTTTCTTACCCTGGACAGCTCTATCTTACACCCCTTTCTTACCCTGGACAGCTCTATCTTACCTTCCCTTCTTACCCTGGACAGCTCTATCTTACACCCCTTACTTACCCTGGACAGCTCTATCTTACACCCCATTCTTACCCTGGACAGCTCTATCTTACATTCCGTTCTTACCCTGGACAGCTCTATATTACACTCCTTCTTACCCTGGACAGCTATATCTTACACTCCCTTCTTACCCTGGATAGCTCCATCTTACACCCTCGGAAATGAGAGAAAATGGTTTCTTTCCCATTAGAGAGAGATATTCACACTTCTGGTCAGGGAAAGATACTGTATTTCGGTCTTACTTTAGGCTAAAGACGAAGGGATCTCACGGTCATAACAATTGTATGACCTCACGTCAACAATAGCATATCATGGGAGATAACTCTGATTTGCTGGGAATCTGCATTTTCATTTCATGAAATTACCACTTATATTTGGTGTTGGAGAAAAATAATCATTCTCAACTCTGGAGGTAAGATATTTAAAAGTCTGGCCCTCTGCACAGCCTTAAGCTAGACATTTAAGAATTTTACCCCTTGGGTTGAGATTTTTCTGTCTTACCCCAAGGTGGGGAAAGATTATATTGATCTTACACTTGGGAAAGTATAATGGACACACTTGTCCATGTTAACAGAAAGTATGACCCCCTACAGGAAGTAGAGTTTTTTCCATGACCGCTCTATTGTGTGGACACAGAAGAGATAGAAATTATCTGCTGCCCTTATAGCAACACTTGTGAACTCGTTTTCTGTTGGTTACCCACCCTTTGGTGTGCAGTGGTGTCACTCAAGGAACCTCTGGTTAGCCCAGAATGATGTGACATGGTTGAGTGTACGCTACCATGTCATTGTTTAGACATTTCAGTAACATCACACGTGTATAGTGGTCCTTGAGTTGCCCTCTCATCTGTTAACATTGTATTTAGATGACTTCAGCTATTTTGAGGCCACAATTTTACTATAACAAACAAAACAAACAAATCATGACAGATGATGACAGATCAGTTTGGCGTAATTGTTTTAACTGTGTACAAGTGTTGTTGTATGTTGTTTTGTGATATTTATCATAAAATTTTCAGATAATGGTACCTTATAACTTTCTAATTTCAGAACAATGGTGAACTTCAAGGAAACAGTAGTGACTCGGGCGTAGTTGACGATGGCAAGTACTCTTCTGAAGACGATCCAACAAGGGTCGCTTTACTACCTCAAAAAGAGGACCTTCAGATCAGAAGAGGAGAACCATGTAAAAGGCCACTGATACAACAGGAAGATTCTAAAGGTGTACATTCCAGTTCTGTCAAAAACATTGGGTATAAACAAAATGCCAGTCACGCCTCACACCCAGACACTACAAGTGGAATAGATTCTGGTGTAAGTGGGACAGACACAGGACAGACAATGGACACAGGACAGACATTGAACACAGGACAGACAGTGCTGTTTGACCAAAGTGAGAGAGATAGGACTCTATATCCTAGTGTGTCAAGTGACCAAAGTAATGATCAGTCAGGTAACCAGGATGACGGTTACAGACGTCCAACTTTTGCAGACAGTTCGGTTGATTCACAATATGATCCAATCGACAATTATGATTTATCCAAAGTTTCAGTGGAGTCGTATACCCAGCCTACTATCGCATAGAGCGCAGCAAATCCACCGAGTATACTGTAGAATAGTTTTATTATAAGTGCGTTCCAGTACCATACACAGACCTCAGCTGGAGAATGAACCTTGTAAGGAGTCCTGGGGTGTCGCCTGTAGAACAAAATTAGATTAATGGATGGGGGGGATTCATCATAAAAGACAAGCCAGTTAGGGGATAAACTTACTGTATTTTGCAATTTGCTGCTGTTTATTGTGATTATACTTTTGAAAAAATGAGGTTTACTGGCGACTCGGAGCTGAGCCAGTAAAATGGATATTTGGTATTATCACAATATACAGTTGTACCTCAGCAAATATAAAAATACAGTAGTATTATCCCCATTCTAATTCTTATAAGCTAAAATCACTGAAATAAATGACAATTCTGAGATGGTTTGAGCCTTTTCTTTAAAATCGCGGTCTCCCTTCTGTGGATTTGTTACGTCAGGAACATTGGAAGTGACGTCAACATACATTGACCTTTCACAGTATCCTATTGTTCCTGATGTCATTAATTATCATTCCATGATGTGTCAGGGTCAATGATATCATTAATTATCATTCCATGATGTGTCAGGGTCAATGATATCATTAATTATCATTCCATGATGTGTCAGGGTCAATGATATCATAAACAATCACTAACTGGGCTTCATATGCAAATTCAAAGTTTTCAGCCGGTAATTCATGGTTATACCATCACAAATTGTTTTGATTGACCTATTAAATGCTGCGTTACATCACAAATTGTTTTGATTGACCTATTAAATGCTGCGTTACATCACAAATTGTTTTGATTGACCTATTAAATGCTGCATTACATCACAAATTGTTTTGATTGACCTATTAAATGCTGCGTTACATCACATTGTTTTGATTGACATATTAAATGCTGCATTACATCTTAAATGAATTAGAATAAGCTTTGTATGTCCTCTGATAACTCTGAACTGTATGTTTTCTAAATCAAATCTTAAGTACTTGGTATCTAAAAATAAGTAAACAGGGTCCTCAAAATAACTGAGCTTGTGTGTTATAAAATGCATCAGAAAATAATTCTGTCCCTATTGTTTTGTGTAGGGGAGATATGTTTTAACACAAACATCAATCAGGATAAATAGAACACAAGTGCTGATCTTTTCCTATATTGAGAATTAATTTGATGCTTACAACTTTTCCCCTGTATGTATTCTGTTCAATAGTGAGCGTATGATAGCTGATTTGAATACACATTGAGCCTGGTATAACATTATTGTTGTGAGTATAAATTTACATGTGTCTGTGGTACTTAGTACTCGTGTCGTTATTATTGTTTGGAGTATGTGGTACGTCATGTGTTTGCGTATGTCAGTATGTAGTACATGTACTATATTTATGGAAGTTGTGCTGGTTTGCTCCATCAAATTACACTCATATATTACAGAAAAACTTATATCATCCCTGTCAACCGGCTAAAATTTTCATCAGGGAGGAAAAAGGTAGCAAATTTTATTTTAATATCTATATAATACTTATGTAAGATGCCAAAACAATACTGTAAAATGCCTTATTCAAGCCAACCTATGCAATTCTGAATTACATTATGATTTGGAAGAAAGGATTAGGAAACATATTTATGTTTAAATTAACAAATTAAATTAAATTAAATAGTGTGTAGCTAGACCAGTCATGGTGGAACAAAACACAAATATTATTACATTATTTTCTTGGTGAGTTTTTGACTAGATCTGTCAAACACGTTACTCTACTTATAATACATGAATCCTATACAAGGTATAGGTAAAATTATTTAAAATGGTACCTCGTTTTTGTTAAAAAGTTTTTTTGGGGTTTTTTAATGTCCCAAAAATCTATTTAAAGATTTTTTACTTCTCGTTTATTGAAGTATGAAAAGACAAGTTATATTCTTGTGTCATTCCATACTTAGTGTACATGCAGTTGAATTTGACCTCATTAACCTTCTTAGTTACCTGTATAAGAAATATTTTTCTAAACTGTATCAATATCCATGTACATTATATATATTTCATATTATCGTGTTTTCAATCACCGTCATCATACAAAATCACTTTTGTATATAAAATGTTAAGGGCATTATTAGCAAGCACTTCACCTTAATAAGTCTACAGAGCTCTGTCCTCCGCAAGGCACTCTGGTGGCTACCGAATATATAGAACAAGCTTGCTTACACTTGCTTTCTCCCACCTCTACATGGAATCAAAAGTGTCAAAACATCATTTTATAAAAACTAGTTAATGATATTTGTACAAGCTTGCCATGGAGAACCTGCGTGGTAAATTTGAGGTATGCATGTACCTATTGCATAATGTACTTTTTTCTTCTCTTTCCAAATAATGACTTTACTGTATGCAACCTTTAAATTTGTTCATATAAAGTCTTGCACTTAATTCTGAAAGGGTGTGGAAGAGTACGAGACCATTATTATTTAGATAAATGTAATTTACCTAAAAACTAGCAGTATATATACTTGTTTTTGTTATTGATGTTTGCTTGGTAGAGTTTTCATACATACATGTATGGGGTATACTTCTACCCTAGGGGGTAGGATTTGAGGTCAGATCCCTGGTAAAGCCTCAGTTTTAATTCTACACCCTAGGGTAGAATTTCCATATCCCCATACCTGGTATATATATACTTATATGTGTAAACATTCTATTACCCTTCATTTTAAAACTCTGTTTCATGATGCAGCCAACTTAATACAAACCATGAGCTTACCAAACAAACCACGATAACAAAAACAAGAACTTTCAAATGTTCTCAGAAGATTTCTGTTGTTTCGTTTTAAGTGAAATGTCATATGATATAACAAATTGTTTACTTTGATAACTAAAGTTGTCGTCTTTACTTAAGGAGTTCTACTGTTGTTCTCCTTAATTTGACTCTTCAGGCCCCGAGATCAGGAAGCAATCTTAAGTCTAATAATGACTTTAATTTTGACTTGACCAATCACAGATAACATCAGGTAAGTGACGTCATACGTAATCAGCTGAGCAGAAACATCAGGTAAAGTGACGTCATACGTAATTGGCTGAGCAGAAACATCAGGTAAAGTGACGTCATATGTAATTGGCTGAGCAGAAACATCAGGTAACGTGACGTCATACGTAATTGGCTGTGCAGAAACATCTGGTAAAGTGACGTCATACGTAATTGGCTGAGCAGAAATTTAAATCCAAGATTGTTTCCTGTTCCTAGGGCCTGATTGTGTTATATTGTTTACATGTGTATCTGTACCGATTGTTACTAAATATAGATCCTGGGAATTTTTCTTTTGCAAAACTCCACTTAAATGTTAGCATTATTATTCAATATTTGCTTTTTGTTGTATTGCTTTAAATTTAATGACAATGAATGCTACCTCTGAAAAAAAGTTGTTGTGGCATAAAATTGGTAACGTTTGTATTTTGTTGTAATTTTGAATTGTAAAAAATGCCAATTTACCAAAAAATAAAAATTTGTGTAATATGTGCTTATCTCTAGTAAAATGCACACATATGTACCCAGTAATAAGCTATTTCAATTTTAGTGTCTGATTAACTGATTAAAACAGACTGAAGAAATCCTTTTGTATATATACTAGAACAGTATATGTGATCAATTTTCTCTGCCTTTTGTTTAAAATGTTCAGATAAGATTGCTCAATAGTTCATCAGAACCACAGAATGCTTGTTTAGCACCTCATCGGCCACATTTACTGGATGTCACAGTGCCTTAGTTATTGCTTTTTATCTGGGGGGGTTTAATTGTAATTTATTAAGTTTACATGTTATGAAATAATACAATCTCGGCACAGTAAAAGTAAATCATATGTAGATGTGGGCTATAATGATTATTTATACCATAGTGAAAGTAAATCATATGTAGATGTGGGACATAATGATTATTTATACCACAGTGAACGTAAATCATATGTAGATGTGGGGTATATTGATTATTTATACCACAGTAAAAGTAAATCATATGTAGATGTGGGACATAATGATTAATTATACCACAGTGAAAGAAAATCATATGTAGATGTGGGCTATTATACCGCCTTCAAACAAACTTTGAACATGTAGATAAAATGAACTGGGGGGGCATATATTTGTGAGCTGGCTTACAGTTGATCATGTTCCTTAAGGCTACATGCTAATTTACTCTGACATGAATCTTCATTCTAAGAGAGTTCCAAACCGAGAGACTAGTGAAGTATCTTTTATGAATATTATTTTGACTTTATCTTTAATTAGGACTAATTTAGCTTTTTTTGCGACCCAAATGAACAGCACACAAGAATGAATGCATTAACAACGTCAAGGCAGAACACTCTAAAACAAGTTGCAGGTCACATAAGGTAGCATATAACCTTTATCATCCTATATGGTTCTATATCTAAGAATATAAATGTGTTGAATAGTAAAACTAGGTCGCTGTGACTGTGGTATAAAATACTGTCATGACTACTAATTTTGTGTACTTTAATATAGTGTTAGAAACATCTGCATCACTCAACGTTACATTTTTACATCGAAAAAAATTTGGAAAAAAATGAATGCCAATTTTTTAAATTTCTTTCCTTTGGAATAGGGGTATTTCCTGTAGTGTTCAGTATTTTTTGTTGGTTTGGTATTTATTTTACTTTTAATTGTATGTATTTCAATAAACACTGTATAATACTAACAAGAAAGTTTTACAGACCAGGAAATTTGAATACATTTTCAGTGACTAACGGGTATTTTGGTTCAATTAAGTTTAATTTATTCAATGTATAGAAAGGTTTTATACTGTCATTTTTTTCATTATCATTTTGTCAAACAGACAATAGAGAGTGTCTTGGGGGTAATACCCCACCAATAGCAAGTGTGATTTAGTTTAATGTAATTCATGGAGCTTGCAATATATTGTGAACATAGGATGAAATGAAAATTTCCTCAAAGGTTTTTTTTTCAATACTTAATTTGCAGATATTTGCACAAGCCCTTTTAAAAAAAGTATTCCACAAAACTCACTCGTCACACATTGCGATGCAATCTACAGAATTATATTAATTGGAAGGTTGAATGTTTGAAAGAACGAATTATTAAAAAAAAAACACATAAAACATGCAAAGGTCAAACATGGGATCTTTTCATCACAAATCCTTTATTGCATTATTTATCTTGCCTTCTTTAAGTGTCCAATTTATAGACCACAAAGCCTATTGACAGGGGAAGTTACTCTAAGCCACAAAGCCTATGCTATTGACAGGGGAAGTTACTCTAAGCCAGAAAGCCTATTGACAGGGGAAGTTACTCTAAGCCACAAAGCCTATTGACAGGGGAAGTTACTCTAAGCCAGAAAAACTCCTTTAAGTTAGTTAATCTTCTATACGTGAGGTAAGGAGAGCTCTGAGTGGCACTCTTTTTTGCGATTATAACTGATGCAGTGGTACCCTTTACCTTAATATTTACATAATGTACGTTAGCCCATTTCAAAAAAGCAGTCCATAAAAATCACATGTTTTGATGAATTTTACTTTACATATATTGTACCAGTCATTAGCATATGATAGAGCTACCTCCCTTCATTAGCCCTCTTTTAATAGCTTGACAGGCCTACAATAATGGGCCTCCGACCACAAATATAGTGCATAAGGACATTTCTGGTCAGTTACTTAATATTTTTTCCTGTCTGATCTATGACAGATATATGTACAGTTTTTTTGCATAGAATTGTTCAACAATATCTATTCTAGTTATTTAATTTTTCTTGACACAGTTTTCAAATTTGTATTTGCAGCAGGACACAATGAGTAATGAGGCTTGCGCATTGATATTTTGTGATTTTTGGTATTTTCTCCTATACATGCAGGGTAGTGACATTCAAATGAAATTATCTTTCTTAAATGCCAGTCATGAGGTACTTTCCAGCTCACTGTAGGTTCAGTTTGAATAGATCTTCAATTTGAAATACCGGTAGGACCAGACCCTGCATGCGCAAAGTTTTAAAACATTTTAATTTCATATTTCCTTTGGTAGTAACATTTAGTGGAATTAATTGTGGTCTGAGGCCAATGTAGGTCTGCTTGAACTTTTACAGTTGCCTGTTTGTCTTATTTTTAGGTCACCTGAGCTTTGCTCAAGTGACCTATTCCAATCGCTTTTCGTCCGTCGTCGTCCGTCGTCCGTCGTCCGTCGTGCGTCGTGCGTAAACTTTTACATTTTCAACTTCTTCTCAAGAACCAGTGGATGGATTTTTTTCAAACTTGGTCAGAATCATCCTTGGTAGATGAGGCTTCAAAATTGTAAAATTGGGATTCCTACCCCAACCCCTGGGGCCAGGGCGGGGCCCCAAAGGGAAAATTATCCAATATTTCAAAAATCTTCTTCTCCAGACTCAGAGGTACTACAGTGATTTTCTCTACGTGGAAAGAAAGATCATCAGGGGCTTTACTTAAATTGTAAATTTCAGGACCCCCGAGCTATCCGTTCTCCCTTGGGGAGGGGGTAAAGTTTACTATAGTTTATATAGGGAAATAACACTTTTGGGTATATTTTGACAACTTTCTGTAGGAAATTATTTTTACTTGGTGAGAATTATCCTTGGAGGTAGATGGTTTCAAATTGTAAAATTGAGATTCCTACCCCGACCCCTGGGGCCAGGGCGGGGCCCCAAAGGGAAAATTAATCAATATTTCAAAAATCTTCTTCTCCAGACTCAGAGGTACTACAGTGATTTTCTCTACGTGGAAAGAAAGATCATCAGGGGCTTTACTTAAATTGTAAATTTCAGGACCCCCGAGCTATCCGTTCTCCCTTGGGGAGGGGGTAAAGTTTACTATAGTTTATATAGGGAAATAACACTTTTGGGTATATTTTGACAACTTTCTGTAGGAAATTATTTTTACTTGGTGAGAATTATCCTTGGAGGTAGATGGTTTCAAATTGTAAAATTGAGATTCCTACCCCGACCCCTGGGGCCAGGGCGGGGCCCCAAAGGGAAAATTAATCAATATTTCAAAAATCTTCTTCTCCAGACTCAGAGGTACTACAGTGATTTTCTCTACGTGGAAAGAAAGATCATCAGGGGCTTTACTTAAATTGTAAATTTCAGGACCCCCGAGCTATCCGTTCTCCCTTGGGGAGGGGGTAAAGTTTACTATAGTTTATATAGGGAAATAACACTTTTGGGTATATTTTGACAACTTTCTGTAGGAAATTATTTTTACTTGGTGAGAATTATCCTTGGAGGTAGATGGTTTCAAATTGTAAAATTGAGATTCCTACCCCGACCCCTGGGGCCAGGGCGGGGCCCCAAAGGGAAAATTAATCAATATTTCAAAAATCTTCTTCTCCAGACTCAGAGGTACTACAGTGATTTTCTCTACGTGGAAAGAAAGATCATCAGGGGCTTTACTTAAATTGTAAATTTCAGGACCCCCGAGCTATCCGTTCTCCCTTGGGGAGGGGGTAAAGTTTACTATAGTTTATATAGGGAAATAACACTTTTGGGTATATTTTGACAACTTTCTGTAGGAAATTATTTTTACTTGGTGAGAATTATCCTTGGAGGTAGATGGTTTCAAATTGTAAAATTGAGATTCCTACCCCGACCCCTGGGGCCAGGGCGGGGCCCCAAAGGGAAAATTAATCAATATTTCAAAAATCTTCTTCTCCAGACTCAGAGGTACTACAGTGATTTTCTCTACGTGGAAAGAAAGATCATCAGGGGCTTTACTTAAATTGTAAATTTCAGGACCCCCGAGCTATCCGTTCTCCCTTGGGGAGGGGGTAAAGTTTACTATAGTTTATATAGGGAAATAACACTTTTGGGTATATTTTGACAACTTTCTGTAGGAAATTATTTTTACTTGGTGAGAATTATCCTTGGAGGTAGATGGTTTCAAATTGTAAAATTGAGATTCCTACCCCGACCCCTGGGGCCAGGGCGGGGCCCCAAAGGGAAAATTAATCAATATTTCAAAAATCTTCTTCTCCAGACTCAGAGGTACTACAGTGATTTTCTCTACGTGGAAAGAAAGATCATCAGGGGCTTTACTTAAATTGTAAATTTCAGGACCCCCGAGCTATCCGTTCTCCCTTGGGGAGGGGGTAAAGTTTACTATAGTTTATATAGGGAAATAACACTTTTGGGTATATTTTGACAACTTTCTGTAGGAAATTATTTTTACTTGGTGAGAATTATCCTTGGAGGTAGATGGTTTCAAATTGTAAAATTGAGATTCCTACCCCGACCCCTGGGGCCAGGGCGGGGCCCCAAAGGGAAAATTAATCAATATTTCAAAAATCTTCTTCTCCAGACTCAGAGGTACTACAGTGATTTTCTCTACGTGGAAAGAAAGATCATCAGGGGCTTTACTTAAATTGTAAATTTCAGGACCCCCGAGCTATCCGTTCTCCCTTGGGGAGGGGGTAAAGTTTACTATAGTTTATATAGGGAAATAACACTTTTGGGTATATTTTGACAACTTTCTGTAGGAAATTATTTTTACTTGGTGAGAATTATCCTTGGAGGTAGATGGTTTCAAATTGTAAAATTGAGATTCCTACCCCGACCCCTGGGGCCAGGGCGGGGCCCCAAAGGGAAAATTAATCAATATTTCAAAAATCTTCTTCTCCAGACTCAGAGGTACTACAGTGATTTTCTTTACGTGGAAAGAAAGATCATCAGGGGCTTTATTTAAATTGAAAATATCAGGACCCCGAGCTATCCGTTCTCCCTTGGGGAGGGGTTAACGTTTAATATAGTTTATATAGGGAAATAACACTTTTCGGTATATATTTTATATATTTTCAGCAGAAAATTGCTCAAACTTAGTCAGAATCATCTTGGGTAAATGAGAGTTTTACTTTGTAAAATTAGGATTCCTGCCCCATCCCCAGGGGCTAGAGCGGGGCCCCAAAGGAAACATTTACCAATATTTTCAAATTCTTATCCATTGATGACATGACAAGTATTGTATTTCACTTAGTTTACATGCTGATTTCCACATCACATCTAAACAATAAAATAAAGCTACCAGTATCTATGATATAACTCAGGTGACCGCTAAGGCCCTTGGGCCTCTTGTTCATGTTTGCTCTTAAATCCCATTTTTTTCGATTCAGTATAATATTTCATCCTTAAACAGAAGCAGAAACATTTGTTCAGGCTTTCTGAAAAGTTCTTTTTAATCAGCAAATATTCTTTCCTATAATTCTTGCATCCATGCTTAACTCTGGCTCAGTATGTCTGGTTGGAAAGAATTAATCTATCTGATTTACATATCTAATGTGAGTTAAAACAGATTTCTGTGTAGCAGCTTTGTTTGTAGTCTGTATATATACCTTATTTACCATCATATCACTTATTTGGTATATATATACTGTATACACTTTCTACTTCATGCCATGTTGCTACATGTATGTGGAGATTGGAGAATTTGTTTTTTTCAAATATGGTGCAAAATAAATTTGTGATTATTGTCTTGTATGCTGTTTTTGTCTGCTGTTGTATAAGGTGTCATCCCAAGTATAAATATACCTATACTTACGTCATATTTATTTACTTCCTTTTTCTTTCCATTGTGTAAAAAAGATTGACACTACCTATCTACAGAGACATATAGTACTTTAGAAATATGTAACTGCTGGATCAAGGAAGAATGATCTAAATTTAAAATGTTCTCAATGTTTTATCCCTGAAATCATTTCATGACCTTTAACACATGTGTATCACGATTTTGAGTTTTGAAATTCTTTTTGTATTTAATTTTGACATACCATTACATGTATAACTCCAGAAATCAAATATCCTCCAAACTGTTCTTGAGTAAAGAAATGTTGCTAATTTAAAGATTTTTCCAGAATGAATGATAATACAAATAGTGTCATGAATAAACCCTCATAAATATTACTTATTGTGTATTTCATTAGGAGTCCAATTCTGACCTTTAAAAATGCATTATTTGACCAAATAAATATCATTTTTTTCAGATGAGAGTTTTATCCTGAATTTAAAGTACTAAAGCTTACAGAAACATTCCATCCATAGGGTGTTTTGATGAAACCCATTAATCAGGATTATAAACCTGTAAAATGACTCAGTAATTTCTGTTTGATTAATGATGATTAGATACATATACTGCAAGTGGAAATATACAAAGAGAGATCAATCACAGTTGTATTATATAAAGTAGCATACACCCTTAAGAACGAAATGTTCTCTGTCACTTGAACCTAATTTATTTCCCTGACATCAACTATAATGTTTACAAGTAGCGTACTTATGTATGGTGTATGGTCTAATGTATGATTATGAACCAGTCCAGGGGATCCACACTTTTACAACAAACATAGACGCTTTAGAACTAGATAGTTGTTCTACATTTTCTAAGCAACAGAATTAACTAGATATTTTTATTGTTTAACTATTGAAGTTACAGCAATTTTGTGCCATTTAGTAGACTGTTCAGTTATGTGATTGTAAACATGTGGCTTTCTATATACATCTATATATCCTGTGATATCTAGGTTATCATAGTGTAGACATTTTTCTACATACTTGATTTAAACAACAGAGGGCTTTGAATAAAAGTTTTCTTTTGTTGAATACATTTGTTTTGGTTGTGATTTTTTAGATATTTTGAAATATCTCCAATGTGGGGAATTCCCATTGACATGGATATTTTACAGTTTTCAGTTGATGCTCATTACAACCATTCAATGTGACATGGATATTTTACAGTTTTCAGT